AAAAACAAGGCTTCGTGCCACCCGGGGCCTAGTCGCTTTCGGATGGGTGCGAGCTCGTACAGGGCTCCGAAATCGGGGCGCCTGAGGAGCGCGCAGCGCCCAGGCGCCCCGATTTCGGAAAGAGTGCGAGCGGCAGCCCATCCGAAGCGACGGCCCGCCTTGCCTGACAATGTTGAGGCCACAACTAACTATTATTTATCTATTCTATGCTTAAAATACTAGTTTTAAAAATTATAAATGCTTTTAGATAAGTACGTAAGCGCTGGCTGAGAGCGCACGCGCTAGAATGCGGGGATAGGAGTGTTGCGTAGCCTACAGTCCTTGGCAAAAATATCTTTGAAACGTCATAACTTCTTATTTTAAATTTCCCAATTGTTTTTTCAACTGAAAACGCTTTATCTCATCGAGCTTTATCGTTTCCTGTTCAAAAATTGAGGTTTTGTTCACATACCGTAAAGTGAACTAGCGGTTTTCAAAGCTTATAACTTTGTCCAGAAGCGTTTCCCAATCGTTTTTTCAACTGGAAACGCACAAACTCATCTAGCTGGATCGATTCCAGTCGAAAAATCGACATTTTGGGACCATACCGTAAAGTGAAATTTTCCCAAAAACTTGCTAAAAATTACACAAAACAATGACCATTTTCGAACGATTACCTGTGGAAAATCAGGTTCGAAGATTCTTGCGTTTGAAAAATTTGCCCCTGCATTTCACCTAGAAATCGGATAGAAAATGGCCATTTTCGATCGTCTTATTTTGCAAATCCCGAAATTTCAATATGTCTAATTTTTCTATAACAAATTCCCGGGAAACCAACCATTTAGAAATTATGAATTTTCGACATTCTAATCGGAAATTTTTCGAACAGGCCATCCGCCCACCCTGACACGGTGTAGTGATTTTTGTAATTTTCCTCTCCCCGAATTCCCATATTCCCCCCATTTTCCTCCTGCTCCCCACATTCCCGTTTCGCGGGCACGTTAGGGCCAATTTTTTTGTACTGCACCACCACTGCCTAGTCAGACAAATTTTTTGTTGTATGGCGACCTCCAACTTCTCTCGGGGTCGTCCAATCTCTATCCCCTTTTCTTTCCTTTCCTTTCCTGTCTTCCCCCCACATCCATACCACACGGGCCATACCATTTTTGCCAAAGTTGCATTTTGTGGGACCTTGGCCGCCCCGGGCTTTGCCGCACAACGGCCGGCTTGGGCGGCTTGTGCCTCTGCCAAGGCACCCGCACCACCACACCTTGCATCTTACTTTTTTGCCCTTTCTGCCGTTATTATTTGCTCAGATAAATTATTTTTGCAAAGTGTTTGAAAGGAAAATGCTTTTGAAAGGTTTTGACAGCCACATCGTTTTTGATGCGCCAGGATGACAGCGACACTGAAACGGTCCGTCATTTGGTCGGCCGAGGCTTTACCTGAAGATCTGGATGATTCTAGGCAAGAAAAACGGTGGCTCTGGCTTTATGATTTGCTTGGATAAATGAATTTTCCTTGGGAATCAGAAAATTCATTTTACGCGTTTTGAGGGTCCAGGCTGGGCATGATAAGCAGGGCCTATGTTTGGTCGCATGAGTCTTATTTAAATCTATCATTTAATTATTCTAGGTATGCACGTAGGATTTCCATTCATTTCGCATAATTTTCATTTCGCATACCGCCATTTCGCATAATTGCATTTCGCATAATTTTTATTCCGCATAACGGTGATTTCGCATAACGCTTATTTCGTATAACGCTCATTTCGCATAACGGTGATTTCGCCTAACCGTCATTTCGCATAACGATCATTTGACATAATTTTCATTTCAGCTAACGGCCATCTCGCATAATTTTGATTTCGCCTAACCGCCATTTCGCATAATTTTCGCCATTGGCAGCCGATGGTCAATATAACTCTAGCTTAGCAATCAGCAACCGATGAAAAACAATCTACCGGCGCGGTTTTTTGAGTCCTTCCGTGAAGATGTCCCAAGCTTGCTCAAAATCCATGACCCATCGGGTGTACGTCTGTTTTGAGGGGCTTGACCAAAAATCCTACGTTGTCGATAGTATCCATGTGTAAACTAGCAAATCTGGCCGCAAGACTAGGTCAAAAGCATTACATTGATTACAGATGCGGAATCCGCGTAAATGGTAGCTAGTCATTTCGATTGTCTTATACCGTGACTGCACTTCATATCATCAAAAACGCCCTGTTTTGCTCTTGGCTGCCACTAACTAAAAAATATGCGAAATAAACGTTATGCGAGATCATCGCTAGGTGAAATGAAAATTATGTCAAATGATCGTTATGCGAAATCACAGTTCGGCGAAATGACCGTTATACGAAATCGCCGTTAGGCGAAATAAGCGTTATGCGAAATCATCGTTATGCGAAATCACCGTTATACGGAATAAAAATGATGCGAAATGCAATTATGCGAAATAGCGTTATGCGAAATGATAATTATGCAAGATGAAGAAATACCGCACGTAGAGATCTAGGCTTTGTCAGGGCTATCCGCCGAGCGACCCACTCACCGACCCCCCGCGCTGTAGAGCTGGATGGCTATTTGGCGCCCTCGCGAACGTATCTACCCGCCTTTCGCCGCATTCGAGTCTCGATTGCCTGGCCTTCTTTCTCCCCCTTGTTTCAACGGCGTTTAGCAGCTAGATTTTGATGCTTTACGAGGCTTTACGCAGTATTTTATGAATTTCTATGCAGGAAATACCTTAAATTCTTTAGCGTTTGAAAAATTGGATATAGACCGCACTAAACGAAATTTTGTGCTCGCACATTCCTAAAAACCTGTATTTGAAAAAATAAGGCTTCGACGGCTCGACGTCCTGTTTTCCCTCTTGCGAAAATATATGAATTCTACAGCGAATCCTTTTTTCCAGGAATGAGAGCCGCTACACGCGGACCTGTCGCCAAGGTCGATCCGGTGCCGGTGGCCCTCGCGAAGTCGCTAAACGCTTGGGACCCCATTGCGCTACAAATGCTCGTCGCTAGCAACCGCAAGCTCACGTTCAAGGAATTCCAATACGACAACGAGAACTCCAAGTGCACGTCGCTCAAGCTCGCCGAGGCAGGCTTCTACCACGCCGGCGCGACGGACGCAACATGCCCGTTCTGCCTGAAGACGATGTCATTCGACCCAGAAGACGACCCGTGGGCCGAGCACAAGGCCCATTGCCCCCGCTGCCCGTTTGTCGTCGTCAACGAGCGCGACGAGGGCAAGTGGACCGTCCGACAATGCGTGCTCTTGATAGCCGCCATCAAAGCAAACTCAATGCGCGACGCCCTCGGCCAATTCAACGCCCAGCTGAACATGATGGAAGACGAGCTCGACGCCATCAAGCCACCAACCTATTGATTTTTGCTATCCCCATTATTTAAAATATCGATGATTCTCATTTGCTTTGTCTTTCGCGTTCATTCCACTGATTTCGTGCTCAATTGAATAAAACGGCGGTGCTAAACACCCAATTTCCAGTGGCACACGACACCATGGCGGGCAACGGGCCGCCGGCGAAGAAGCTCGACATGATGTCGTCGTTGCTGAATCGGACCCGACAAATTCAGAAGAGCTACATGGAGTCGTTTGTGAAAGAAGTCGAGGTGTGCAATTAGGCTTTGAAATAAACGCTTTTTAGAAAATTCCGCCTCCAAGGGATCCGGCGGAAGAGCGCGACTCGGCGGTGCTGGCGACGTTTTGGGGAATAACGAAAAAGGTATCATTGTCGTAGTTTAATAAGCTGGACATTTTGCTTTTTTTTTTTGATGGAAAGAAACACTGAACGCTGTTTAGACCTTTTTGTACCATTTACATGAACTACGAAAATAATTATACAAGCGGCGTTTAGTGTTTCTCGACTGATCTTGTCTATTTATTTCCCGTCAATTTCAGGAATCAATAACTCTAGGGAGACACCACTTCGCGACCCCAAGAAAATGGAGCCCCATCAACGAGCAAAGCGCCGCCGGAGCCCGCCGAGGAATCACAAGCTGATCGGGAGATTCGCGAAAAGAGAGAGGCCTTGATCGCGCAAAGAAGGGAAATCGCTAAAGGTCCGTTGCTTCTCGTAGCGCGCTCAACTTTTCATTTAGCAGCGCTAATCCGGGAGGCAGAGAAGCACATGCGATTGGATCGAGGGTTAGTGATTCGCTTTATATAACAAAATTGGCATTTAGAAAACCGGTGGCCAACAAGGAGTTTCTGTCAAGAACGATCAGATCGACGGTGCTCAGCGATCGGCAGGAAGAGCTGCGGAAAGAGAAAGCCAAGGCGCAGAACCAGCGGCGTGAGGACATACGAGAAGAAGAAATGCTGTGGGTTTTAAAATCCTTTTTTTTTGCTAATACCAGCGATAGGACCATGAATTGAGCACAACTCTTTACAAACGGTTTTTACACAGCTTGCGCCCCACTGAAACCCTTTCTCCTTAGAGTGGCGCATAATTCATGGTCCTGAGAATATTTGTCATTTATGTCCTCGTCCCGTGTGCTTCCGCCTTAACCCAATTCTTACCATTTAAGGTTAAGAGAACGCATACGGGCTCGCTACTTCAAAGACGAAGACAAGAAATCAAAGTCCCGGAAAGGCAGCAAGAGGTTGGCTTTCGGGCGTTGCGATTATCAGATTTTCCAGTGACCGACGCAGCCGCAGCAAGAGCGCCGAAGCCAAGAAGAAGTCTCGGAAGAGGAGTCGAAGTCGGAGCAAGAGCCGCAGCAGAAGCGTCCAAGTCGTGGAGAAGACTGAGCGGGATAGAAGGTAATATTTTGGCTAGCAACCCGGTAAATACGGAATCTAGATCATCAAAGCGCTCCCAAAGAAGCCGAAGTCCCGACGACAAAAGCAGCAAGAAGGCCAAGAAGCGTTAATAACATGGGCTTCGCCCTATTCGCATAATGAAATTCATAGCAATAAAATATTAGTCTTACAATTTGCTGTGAGCGCAATATGGTGACCACGTATTTATTTGAAGAACGTTTCTCGAGCGGTGAATAAAGTTGAGCAAACGGGTGGACCTCTTTTACAGGGCAATAAACAGATATTCTGCAGAGACAAACTAACTAAATGGACAAATAAGTTTTAGCGAACATAAAGGCTGTGGCGATGAGGGGTGCACGGTGTTTTAGAGGATTGTGCAGCAGCTGATGCCGAGGTGGTGCCGTCCGATGTGGAGCCGAGACTTCTGAAGAACCAAGGTATTAGCCTAGAAAAGCAATAAATAACACACCTTCTTGAGAGGCTTTACCATCTCAAGTGGAGGAGCGGGGCCGGTGAGGTCCAACTCAGCTTCTGGCAGATCGTCGGTGAGGCACAGGAGGTTGTGTCGCGAGGGCTGGGTGACCATCGAAGTCGATCTGGCGCGGTCGGGGTCCTTGGCGTCGAGGTGGCAGTCGTGCAAGAATTCCTCAACCTTCTCCACCTGAAAAAAATAGAAATTTTATTTCAACAGCATTTTCGTACCACATCGTTGTCGTGTGAGTAGGCCGAGGAACTGGAGTCCACCTGGTTCAGCTCCTTCTCCCAAGTTGGCGCGCGCTAATAAAACGATTCTTGAATCCAACCACAAAGAAAAACCTCAAAAGTAGCCGCTGTGTTAGCTGAAGTGAGATGGGAAGTGGCCGTGCTGCCAGAGCTGATAATCGCCGACTCCTTCTGGTCTTGAGGGTAGTGGTTCGCTAGTTGATGCATGGACTAAAAAACTCATGAAGAACAAGAATAAGGTACTTACAGCCACGCATTGTGCCAGCTCTTCACGGATGCCAGTCTTTTCGGCGAGCAGGGCTTGAACCTCTTGCAGCACGACCTCATCGCGATTCGCATTCAGAACCTCGGGTAGATGACGTCCCACATTGATCTAAAGCAACGCGATATGTAGCAGATTGAGAAATTCCATACCCTATCCGGAAAGCTGGGGCCATAGTGGTAAGACTTGATCGTCAATGGCGCAATGTTCTCGTCGTTGTAGTATACCGGGGTCGTGGGAGGAGCTGCGTCCCCAGCGCCGGCAAGTTGGTGTACGTTAGAGCGGAGATCCTCGGCAGAGCGATATTCTTCCAGCTCATCGGCGTCGTGCCCCTGTCCCTCCATAGCGGCTAAAAAAAGATATCAAGAATCCTGGAGTAAATCTTACTATTGTTGAGGTCGATTTCCTGGTCCAGGGCCGAAGAGTAAGCTCTTCCATCAGAAGACAGCGAAGAGTCGTTTGCTGGGATATCGCAGAGTACAGCCGACAAAGAGAGACGAATGACCTAAATGCATGTTTTTCAAAATCGATCAAATGCTCACGTTGCCATGTGGGTCGATGGGCTCGAACAGCTCGGTGAAGTCTTCGGTGAAAATTTGCATCCTGAAGTGGAAGAAGGTCAAAGATGAATGGAGGCGCTTACTTTGTTTTATCTGGATTCTCCACGCCCGAGATCCTGACGAGGTCTTGATGGGCAAGGTGGCGACCGGTCAGCTTCTTGTAGTGGGCCCGAACGTCCGACCAATTGGCGAGGTTATCCTTGTTAGCCGCCCGGCGCAACGACGCGTAGAACGCCCTTTTCAGGTCCTAAACAAAACTTATGGCACAGAAAAGATATTCGTACCATGTTGACCTTGCGGGGCGTCTCGGCGATGTCCTGGCGGTTGATTTCCTTTAGCGGGGAGTTCATTGTGGTCTGGCTTTACCACAAATCTGCAAGAGGAACGGTTTGAATATAAAATGCAAGGGGAAAAACAAAGAGTTGTGGTTCGAAAAGTAGCACGTGCATAAATTGGTGTTCTGCAACACTCATTAAAATAAAAATAAGCGTTTTATAGAAGAAAAAACCCTAATATAAAGCATTTCTAGCAAGTTTCAATTTGTATCAAAATCAAGCAAGTGATTAGGAAGAAAAAGCAACCCTAGCAAAAAAATCCAGGTCCCGCAGCGGTTTCCGTATTCCCTCGTACTACCAGCAGACGCCTCCGGAAACTTTATTTTCTAAAAATTTGGTACTTTTCCAGAAAAATGAACCTTTTTGCCTTTCTTTCTTTCTTTACATTTTCTTTTCTTTTTAGTGAATGCAGAACGGCTCTGAGCCTGAGGAACCCGAGTTGCCCGACTTGAGCTCGTCGGACGGCGAGGAGCCGCTCTACGCGCCTTATGATGACGAGGGACACGACACCGAGAGCTCGACAAGCCTCGCCGACGATGATGCCGAATATGACCCGAAGCCTGGCAAGAAGAGGGTCCGCTTCCAAGGGGCCGTCCAGCGGCGATCCATCACGCCCAGCTGTCCAAGACCCGCACAACGCCTGAGATGGGGCACCAAGTGTAACATACAGGTTAGAACGCCGTGCACGTTTTAAAACTTTTTGTTTAGAGCAGTGACAAAATCGAGTGCCCGGACAATGAGACCATTGTCTCGCGCATGGGGTCCGCTTTGCTGGAACGCTACAATCTTCGCGATTCCCGTGTGGCCCAGACGAAACAGCTGGTCGAGTGGGAAGAGGGCACCGTGCTCCACCAAGAGTTCGAGGTATAATTTGGCATTCAATGGCTCTGGAACGCTCATTTTTAGGTAGAAAAGTGCCTTACTTCCGGCGACGTAGAAGCGCATTGCCATCGATACGACGTGAAATCCCTCGAGACTGGGCGAAAGGTATTCGATTTTTGTATTTACTCCTCTAAAATCCTATTTTCAGTACCGATACGTTGCGGAAATTCTAGAAGCCATCCCTTCAATCGTCGACTTTGAGCAAAAGTTTCTTTGGCAGGTATAGAGTTTGGTTTAGCAAGTTTTGTTTTTTAGGCAAACAAGGCCCACGACGCTGACTATTTCGGCGGCGCCTATTTTCGAGCAGGCTGCCTGCGCGACCAGCTCGATGGCATTCAACCGCACCAATACTACCTCCAAGAAATACAGTTAGGGCTCAAGGTCGATGGTTACCTTTTTTAGCGAAAAAGTCGGACTGACTGCCGTCGGGTGCAAGATGCAGCTGCGCGACCCAGCGCACTATTCTTTCCCGTATTGGCTGTACAGAAGCTTACTAAAGGTTTTATTCTTGTTGTCACTGATCGTTTCCTAGATTGTGGAGAGCCTATCGAACCTCGGATACGTGCTGCGTGATATCTACCCAGGGATGTTCGCGTACGATCTGCGCTCCGAATGCATCGTCTTGACCGAGTTCAACTTCACCTACAAGAGGACAGCGACGATGGTAACGCCTTGGAATGCTTAACTTTTATGGCGGCCTGCTGTAAAGCGGTTTTTCGGCTCGGAACCATGTGATAGAAACGCGCTGAACGTTTTTTTTGGATTACTCTTTGCCGCAACGTTTAGGACCATTATTATTTTGTCGATGTAAGATGTATTTTGGACCTTTCTGGTCGGTTTCCAACAAGTAAATCGACGGTACTAGTATACTTTGGGGGCAAAAAATTTTTTCGGCCAAAATTTCTCATTTTGCACTATTTGGTTCAGTTTTTCATGCTGAATCGAATGCACATGTTACCAGATTTTTTATTATTGCAACAACATAAGAATTAGGCAAGAATAACAATTAATAGCAGGGGTGGATCTCCTTTATATGCGACCAAAAGTTGAAGAATGGATAGCATGCATAGGATTAGGCTTAGGCTTAAGCTTTGACCTAGGCTCAGGCTCAAGCTTAGGCTCAGGCTTTGGCTCCTGCTTTGGCTTTGGCTCAGGTTAGGCTTAGGCTTATCTGCGGCTTCTGCAACGGTATACTACTGAAAAACTATTGAAATTACTTGTAATATAAATAGTTAATTATTACTAGAAAACATGATATAAAAAAATCTGGATACACTTTCATTGGATTCAGCACGAAAAACTGAACAAAATAATCGAAAATGAGAAATTTTGGTCGAAAAATTTTTTTGGCCCCCCCCAAAGTATACTAGTACCAAATCGACAAACTTCAGTTTCCCGTAACCCCTTTATGAACCCTCTTGAAAAAAGACAAGCCTGCCAAAAACTTTCCGGCGAGTGTTTTTCAATGAACACCTTTTGGACACTTCTAAATTGACTAACAACGAAAATAGATTGAAACAAAAAAAACCGTTTTCGCGCGATGGCCATAAAAGTAAATCCAAGCCACTCCCCTTGTACAAAAAACCTTCATTTTTAGCCCTCAAAAGGATGCACGTGGGAAGGCGCGTTGGAAATAGCACCGCTCAGCTTCCTTGCCGGTGATCGACGACCGCTCAATCTGCTCGACAACATTGAATCCGCGTGGTACCTCGTCGTCCACATGCTCTACCACCCAATCTGGTTCACGGATCCCGGAAACGTAGGCTATGACCTCGCTACGCTATTGTTAAAATGTCGTTTAGACTGGACACGTGCGCAACGCAAAATTGCACCATATTGGCGAGACACCGGCGGCATTCAACGGAGTTGCCGCGCTCGGCTCGAGGCTATACGATCGTCTTAACACTGGGTACGAAGCCGTTCGCTGATTTTTGATTCATGCTGGATTTTAGTATGCGCGCCCTCGTACGCGCCATTCGTAGTTATGCTCGGGACGACGTCGACGATGTCCAGATGAATCAACTTACTGCGAAGCTCTACGACATTCTGGCCAAAATCCCGGCGCCCAGCCTAGCGGACATCTGCAACTTTTTCGAAATTCAGGAGAACGTAGGATTGATTGTTAACTTTTAGCTCGTGTTTTTAGGCAATCATGCATGGCCTGTACGTTCAAGCGGTCGCCCGTCGAATGGAACATCTGCAGGCGCGTCACCGGAAGACATGCGCGCTGCGGGCCCAGCAAAATCTGGTGGATGAAACCGTTGGCAGGTTTGGTTTTCAAATTTTTTAGACTGATTTTCCATAGACACAAGGAGCGCGCTTTTCGATTGCGCCTGAAGGACGTCCGCGAAAAGTACCGCCAAATCGACTTGAACCAACTGGCCGACGACGCGGAAAACTTTGCAGGTCCCTTCGCGCTGCCTGCCGAGGTAAAAAGCATTTGGTTTAACCCCTATTCTCTTTTTTAGCAAATTCAAGTCCGCGCGGATCGTCGTGGCGTGAATCATCTGATGTCAATCGAAGTAAACTTTCTCAGGTTACTACTAAACTTTATTTTTAGGTGACGAACCGGACCCGACGATCGAGACATCCCCAGGACGACGATTCGGAAGCTGACGACGATGACGAAAATTAATAAAAATGTTGCCTGAATTTATAGCTTGTTGAAGATTGATTATTTCGATAAAATATTTCTGCGTTTACACTTACTTAGAAATGCGAAGTTAGAAAAGCAAATGCAATGCATATTGGGACATTGCATATTTATCATTTTTTGCCTACGTTATATTACCCGGTTGAATAAACCATTCATATAGACATGGGGTTGACCTTTGCATATTTGCCGTGCGTGCGGTCGTGCTTCTCTTGTTGTGCCGTGCTCTCTCGTGCAGCCAGCTGACCGCTAGGGACCGGGGTATCGATCTATGCATCGCCTGTTCCACCCGCACCTTACTTCCACCCCTAATGACCAGCTGGGTGTCTTTATTACGATTTTAGACTCTATTTCCCTGGTTTTCAATTAAATCGCTAGTTTTTTTTTCAAAATTGAAAAGAATTAATTCTTTTTAGATGGGAAACAGCTCGGCAAAATATGAAACTGCCACGGAAGACGAGGAGCCCCAGCCAACGACTTCACGCAAGAAGAAAGGCAAGAGGGGTTAGTTTTTTCTGGTTCTATTTTCTACTTATCGCTTATTCGATTCTTCTACTTTTTCTATTTTAAATGAATTGAAAAGCAAAGAAAGCGGAAGAGCGAATAAAAAGAAGAAAGAAAAAAGCAAAAAAAGTGTATTGCAGAAGAAGGTTGGTACTATTGAAGTTGGGGGGGCAAAATTTTTTTTGGGTTATTTTTGGGCTAATTCGTCAGTTTTTCGTGGCTAATCCAGCGCAATACTCAACTCCTAAGCTAAGCTAAGCCGAAGCACAGTTAAATTGAGCTTGAACAAAGCTAAGTCAAAGCCAAAAGCAATGATGCTGTGGCGAAGTCAAGCTAAGGACCTAGTACTAAAGCTTAGGCTAAGCATAGGCCTAAGCCTAGGTTAAACTAGTTCTAAGCCTAGCCTAAGTCAAGCTTAAGCCTAAGCCTAGCCAATACTAAGCTAAGCTAAGCCTACGCCAGAGAAAAACTGACCAATTAGCCCAAAAATGACCCTAAAAAAATTTGCCCCCCCCAACTTCAATAGTACCGAAACGTTTAATAGAAAAGAAACAGAAAGATATAGAGAAAGGAAAGCAAGTAAAAGAGCATTATAAAAGTAAAGAATATTAACGAGGACGATTTATTTTGCAGGTAAACGCAGCGCCTCAGCTACAGAAGACGAACCATCATCTTCCACTACGAAAAATCGCCAAGCTCGACACCACAAAATATGTCTACGAGAAGCTATTCCTAGCGGTAGTCGAGAATTCTCCATTTTTATGATTCATTTTTAGGGAGAGCAGAGTGATGTCTCGATCCTGGCCGTCGGCCATATCTGGAGCTTGCACAAGCTCTACCTGAAGCAGTGCAAGTATTTTGATGCGTTATTTGGGTAAAACTTGCTCTAGAAATTTGTTTAATTGTTGTTTGTTTTAGGAGCGAATCGAGTTGGAAGGGAAAAGACGACCATAAGGTGAGGCTCGAATTTCCCGACGGGAAAGTCACTGTTCCAGGTATACAGAAATTAAAAATTTCAACTTTTTTTCCAGCGCTGCACGCGGTACTTGGCTCGCTCTACTCCAACGAGATCGAGCTCGATATCAAGGATATCGAGGGCATCCTGGCGGCCGCGTCGTTTTTGCAATTGGTTCGTGTTTTTCTTGGACTTTTCAAACATTTTTCAGGAAAGCATCCTGACGCGCTGCGACGAGCTGATGGCCCAGAATATAAGCGATGATTCCGTTCTACAGTAAATTATCGGAAAATTGCAAACATATGGTTTTAGATTTGCGATACTCGCCAACCGGTACGGGCTGTGGTCGGTGGTGAAAAAGTCGGAGCGCTTCTTGCAATATGGATTCTGGCGGTTGTCGAAATCGCCTAAATTTTTGAAGGAGTTGCCGTAAGTTGTTCACCTTTTTCGGGATCTTTTTGAATCCTTTTTTATCGCATTTTTTAGTTTTGAAGCACTTGCTCGTCTACTCTCCTCCTCCGACACGCTGTCAATTGAGGGCGAGAAGGAGTTTTATCAATGCACGAGAAAGGTAAATCAAAATTTTCTACCTAAAAAGCGTTCTTTTAGTGGATCTATTTGCACGAGGGTGGCAAAGTCTCGAAAAACAAGGATGAGTTCGAGAGGTCCATTACGGAATTTTACAAGGCAAATCCGGGGTCATTCGAGAAGTATGCAGCTTTGTGGAGCGGAATTCGGTAGTTTGAAGTCTGACGAACGAAGCCTTTTTCTTTTCAGGGTGCACCATCTTTTGACGTCCAGCAAGGAAGCTGATCAGCTACGAAAAGATGGCATTATTCCGGCAAAGGTAAAGAATTTTCGATCTTTAAAGTATGGAGAATTTTTTTAGTTGATCGACCAAGCGATGGTGGATTGTTGGAAGGGTTTTTTGAGAAACGAGGAGGAGCCGAATGAGTAAGCGGAAATATGACATTTTTAAAACTTGTTTAGAGTAAACGAAATCAGCGAGGAAGCCTTCTACCTCTGCGCGTTGCGTGAGGGCATGGTGGTCGATGAGGACCCGGTATTTAGCTAATTTTAAATATATTTCAGTGCCTTTTTAGAAGCTCTGGCGTCTCATCAGCCACAACAGCGGCCTGGACCTGTTGCTGCAATATACGCAAAGGTGAGCGTAAATTAACGATAGATTTATGCGATTTTAGATACATCACAATCCGGCGCAACGTCCTTTCTCAGCCCACCACAAGAACCGTGTCGATCAACGGGACGAAGAAGGTCTATTATAGGTATGCAAAACTACGCTTTTCATTTTTAATTTAAAAAAATTTAAAAAGTTTTTTTACAAAATTTAATTATTTTAACGTTTTTTTTCTTCAGAATTGTCGTCACCGACGCTAAAGGCACGCAGCTCCACGATACCGGAAGGGAGAGCATCGAGTTGAGGATGGATCATGTTGGTTTTTTCGTGAAAATGAGTAATCGTCAATTTAGGTTGTGGTGATTGCCCGCTTCGCCACCGTTTTCGAGTTGCCGCTCTCGGTGCACATCTTCCATCTATCATCTCCTCCGTGTCCGCCGTCTTTTCTGTAAGTTTATACTTTAAATTTCGGTGATCAATGAGCTTTTCTGTTATCGGGGAGGGTTTTGGTGTTAGAATCCATTTTTCTTATTTTGTAAAAATGAAGGAAGGGGTTCTAGACGTTCTGACCATTTATCGAGGAAAAACTTTACAAAATATCATTGAAATTACTAAATTATAAATTTTTGACTAGTTCAAGTAATTTCTAAGCGTTTTTGATAGTTTTTGCGCTTGAAATATAGTTAGATTTTGTCAAAAATGGTTTCTACATTGTTTTCTTCTATTTTTCAAAGCAAATCTTCTGCAGTTTTTCAGGAAAAATTCAAAAATTTTAATTTTACAAGCAATTAAAAATTTCTCAGCTTTTTATATAGTTTTTCCACTCGAAATATAGTTAAATTTCATCAGAAATGTTTTAAAAATACCTGCCCTTACGCAGGACATTTTTTCTATTTATTTTTCAGATACGTCAACCAGTACCTCAACCAACTCCACGCCAAAGAAGTTCAGCTACAGACGGACGATGACGAGGAAGAATCCCCAACCCCAACCGCCTCGTCCCCGGATTCGAATTCTAATTCTTCTGTCGAATTGTAACTTTTCGCCCCGGTTCTCCCCGCTACCTCACCGTATCTCAGGTAATATTCATGTCTTTCATCTTTTTATTGGTTGAGACTTGTATTACTCTAATTTCTTCCATCTCCATTGTTTTTATCACTAGAAGAGACCTTGTATATTATTTGTAGCCAGGTCACACATGCCCTTCCTCAATTCTACCGTCTCTGTGATACCCATCTGCACGCTATAGCAATAAATATCGTTTGGAAAGTGTGGAGTAGTGTGGAGTAGTGAACGTTGCTGTTTTGATGACCACATTCAGTGGGGGTGGGGATCGATGGGTGAAGTAGTGGACACGACACGACCGGCCGCTGGGCGTTATCACAGCCTTCCGGATGGCCACGAGGCTCCGGGACTCGATTGACGCACTCCCACACACTTCATGAAGCGCTGACTGCGCTATTTTCGGGGTGTGCTTTTGTTAATTGACTTTTGCCGAGACCAACATTCAGAGAAATGAAGTTTTTTGTGGGTGTTCGCTCGCGGTTTGAGCTACACCCTTTGCCTTTACCCCGTTAGGTTTTGGATTTTCTCACGGACTTTTTGGTTTCCCTGCTTTTTAACGGATTTGGCTATTCTGAGGCTTTTTTCGCGACCTTGATGTTCGGGATTTTGGGTGTGATTTTCGCCGTCGCGATTTTGGCCGTCGGGATTTATGGCGGAAATCCCTTTCTGGTGTTTTCAACGATTATGGTTTTCGTTATTGGCTGTTGAACGAGGCTTACATGTTACGTTTTCAACTCTGGCTCTAGAAACTTGAGATTTAATAGATTTTTAGCGTTTTAAAACTGTATTTTGAGGCTTGCTAGGCCTTCACTAGGGAATGGTCTCCGCTCGGCCTCGACTTTCGGGTTGAAAGTTAGCTCATCTTGTAGAGCTCGACGAGACGAATCGATTGATGTAACTTTTAGCTGCGGATACTGTAATACAACAAAATTACAGCCCTTTAAAGTTTTTACCCGACCTTCATAATCCCTCCCCACTTGCCCTCCACCGTGGTCTGGTGGCCTAGTGGTGTAGCAGTGGGCGTGTGGGGAATCTAACGAGGGTTTGGACCCGCTCACGATTTTTATTTTTTGCTTTTTAGTCCGAGGCCTCCTTTTTACGTTCTAAAGGCCGTGAAGAACTTTTTATTCATCATTTCTGCACTAGGAAGGGCTCCCAATAAAAATGAGGCTTCGGCAAAAAAAAACAATTTTTTTTGACCCCAGTGGCTGGTGCTCTAGCCTCCAAAATTTTAGATAAAGTTTCAACGGGTGGGCAATCATCATTAAAAACCGCTATCGTGCCCCCGATTCGATGAAAAAAAATTTATTTCTATTGGCCTTGAATTGACCCACCAATGGCATGCTGGCTAATCGTCAAAATTTTCCAAAATTTTTAGGGGTGGTTATTTTGTTGGGAGCACTTCCTAGTGCAGAAATGACGAATAAAAAGTTCTTCACGGCCTTCAGAACGCAAAAAGGAAGCTTCGGACTAAAAAGCAAAAAATAAAAATCGTGAGCGGGTCCAAACCCCCGTTAGATTCCCCACACGCCCACTGCTACACCACTAGGCCACCAGACCACGGTGGAGGGCAAGTGGGGAGGGATTATGAAGGTGGGGTAAAAAATTAAAGGGCTGTAACTTTGTTGTATTACAGCATCCGCAGCTAAAAGTTACATCAATCGATTCGTCTCGTCGAGCTCTACAAGATGAGCTAACTTTCGACCCGAAAGTCGAGGCCGAGCGGAGACCATTCCCTAGTCAGGTTATTTTAAGCGTTATATTTGTAAAGGCGTCCTCGAAATCGCCACCCTTCAATCCGGCGTCGTCTCGCCACATTACACTTCTGTACTGTGAACATGCGCGCGCGGGCAGAACTCGTTTTCCGGATGCATACAAGAGACGGGGGAATGTCCCCTCGATAACTGGATGTTTTCTGCCGCGCGCTTTTTACTTTTCTATGCCGCCTGCATGGTATTGCCGGGTATCCTGGAATCCTGAAACTAGCGTATCGCGGCGGAATGTTAAATTCTCCCCAGAATCCAAGTTTTCTAACAAATAGGTCAATTGTATCTGTTTTTTACTATTTCTAAACCTATAGACCTTAAAAATTTTACAAAAAAACTACGAAAATGTTAGGTTTTTCACCAGACTGATTAAAATTTCGCTTAAAATATGCCGTTCTTAAAGATTTTTTAAAGTTTTGAAATCCAGCTAGTTCCATTCCCCGCCCCCCGTAAATACTAAAGTACCTATTTTCCTACTGGTGGTCCATTTAAACTATTTTTAAAGATTGTGCCTAAACACCTTGACCTAAAGCAAACTTGTGCTGCTTTCAGCGAAGAACGCATCACTACCCATCCTCTTCCCATCCCCCTCTATCTACCGAGAATCCCAGGCTGGGTGGTCCAGAATTCTGTTTGCCAACTGTTTGGTGGGGCTGGGTGGTATTGTCGAGATGCGCCCTTCTTCCCCCCTCTACCGATCGGTTCGTGTTTACAAATCGATTTTTCCGGAGATGGCTGAGAACCTTGGCCGGTCACACATCGTGTTCCGGGAAATGGCCGACTTTGAAGTTTTCGGATTTTCTGAAAAATAGTTCGTTCCGTTGTTGGCACCATTTCTGCTAACTGCTCGATATCTGCGATTTCCACGATTTTCTATAGTTCTTTTTAGAGCCATTAGCGAAATACAAATTATTTTTCGGTCGCTCCCTCTCCCTCTCCCTCTCCCTCTCCCTCTCCCTCTCCCTCTCTCTCTCTCTCTCTCTCTCTCTCTCTCTCTATCTCCTCAAAAAAAAAACGCTGACCAGTTGCGTTAATCGGATTTCCTTCTTTGCACCGGAATAACTGGTCAGCCGATCGATTTGTTCACCGCCAGGTGACACGTTCATTCCTTTTTCGGCCCTCCGAATCTGGTCAGCCCCCACATTTCCGGTCAATTTCAGAACCTTTGAAAAACATTTTCCCAGGAAAAGTTTGAAAGGCGCTGAGAGCCGGCTCTTATTGTAATTTTACCCTTCGCATAATCTCTTTTGTGCGAGAGACAATTTTAGTGCGTACAGCTGCACGTAATTTTTGCCTAGAAATTGACCGTTCATTTCGCCCCGTACAAAAAAAAGTCGTAAAATAATTACCCCCGGATGCCCCGTGATGACCCCTTATCGGCCACGATTTCAAGGTGCCCAGTTTTTACGGGCCCGGCTTGGAAATATATTTTTCGGCTACCGGTTTGGTATAAAGCTCACTTCCTCAAGTTTTGGCACTGGACTGTTAGCGAGGGGGTGGGTAACTTGGCCTATCGCTCCGTAGGGCTCAAGCAAGGAAACACAAACGTTTATATAGGTTTTTCGGCCGTATTTCGGCAAAGAACGTTCATAAAAATTCGTTGAAGTTTGCTCATATTTGATTTTTTATCAAAAAATGGATGAAAATGGTAAAACTTTCAATCCGTTCGCGTTTGTAAAAGTTTTGATGTTTTTTCGTAATCGGAAATTGATAATAACCGTAATAATATACGATCAAGAGAAAAAGCTTCCTGAGCAGAGATAGGTAGAGAGTCCCCCCCGCTAATATGCCACTCCCGCAACAGTATCCGATAAATCGATTCCCGATACCGATATTCCCGATACTCCGCTTCTCCATTCAGTTTCGAAGCGGGGCAAAAGTGACGCGTGTTTCCGTCGTCCATTTTGGTCGGCTCCCCTTTTTGTAATATGTTTTTGCAGGGCAGGGCAGGGGGGGTGAGGGGGCGTCAAAATAAGATCCGCCCGCCAGATTGGTTGCGTCTGTATTGAAGAATTTCGGGGTGCCCATGTTTTTCTAAATGTTTTGAACAGTTTTATGTGTTTTCTGACGAACTCTGAAAGTCTCAATTAGTTTTTATACGTTGTTTTTACATACGAAAAGGGCTACTAGTTTGTTAAACAGTTTTTCTATAAGTTTTAACCGTGAAACGTGAATTTTTATTTGTATTTGGGCATTATTTTTCGTCTATAAGTAAATTCTGCTTCTAAAATTGAGGAAAATTAGTTTTTTAAGATAATTTTTAGCAAATTCGAGTTTATTGTTTTTTTTCGAGTTTGCAATGTTATTTTAACGATTTTACGTTGTTTTCGTTATTCTTCGACTTTTTAAAAGAAGCAAATGTTCTAAAACCAACGATCTTTAGCTCCCACCTCGCCGAAGTAACCCGAACTCCCCCAAAAACGCGGCCGACCGGGAGACGGGGTGGCTGGAGGGATGGAGGCCTTCTTCTGGCTCTACCTCTCCTCGGCCGCCCTCCTCTACATCGTCTCCGGCTCATTGCTACTCGCCACCATCATCCAGCTACGCCTCCGCGAGAAGTATTCGGTCTTTGCGGGTGTGTATGGAGGAAAATCGGACAAAAACTGGGCAAAATTTTCTTGATTTCCACCTTTCGAAGCCTCAAATTCAGTAAATACTACGTAAAATTTAAAATCTAACATTGTAAGGTGATCCCAAAACAATATCCAGCCTTGGTCCAAAAAGCAAAAAGTGGGTGCCTCATGCTGGAATCGAACCAGCGACCTTCTGTTTACTAGACAGACGCTCTGCCACTGAGCCAATGAGGCGCGTGGGAGGGGGCAGTCGTGAGGGGCTTTCCGAGATGGGTCGCTGCCCCGCCAGGGTCAGGACGACCGATTTTTGATGCTTTGAGATGCAAATTCAGAATTTAAATTTTAGAATTGATGGTTTAAACAGAGCATATTTTACCATTGATTTGACAATTTGATAGTGATATTTTAAGTTAAACCGGTTAAAAATTTAAAAAAATGAAAATATCTAATTTCTCTATATTTACTTCCGCTTTAGTAAAATTCCTGATCGACCTTATCACAGCTTCCTCACTGCTGGTGATGGCTTTTCTCGATAAGGAGGTACAAGTGGTTTCCTAGCATTGGATCTGAATTTTTAGGACGAAAAGCAGTGCGGTATCGTGCAGGTGATATCGTCAAGTGTGCCGTTAGTGCAGGTACATTTTCAAATTAAAAAGACATTAAACTTAATTTAGTGCCTTCTGTTAATGTGCGAGGTGATCGACTGGTCGTTGGCCGCTTTTTCGCCTATTTATTTCCATCAATCCTCGCTGTTTTGTCGGTGGGTTGAAGGGGGCTTGCAGCAATTTGTTTAATTCAGTTAAAAAATTTTTGAAAACCTTATATTACTAAAAATGACTCGAATTAAGTAACGTTAAGAAAATTTAATTTAAATCTTATGGGTTGACTTCCATAAATTAGGTATAATATTAAAAAGCCAAAAAACTTTTTTTCTAAAATTTTTGTTTATTTGTCTATATAAAAGTTTTATAAAAATTGATCATCTATTAATCCTGATTTTCAGGATACTGCCGTTCCTTATTGGGGCCCTGTTTTCCGTCATAATTATGGCGTGTCTGGTAGTGATCGATATCGAGACGGACGGCTCTTGCGTGGCTGATGCAAATACTGGTAACAAATTGCCACATTAATAGCACTCGATTAGCGTCATTTGGCGCATCACGTAGCTAGTCGATGGAAGGGTCGATTTTCATGCTTTCTAGTCTCTTTAGCCTTCCCGTTTTCAGCGATTCTAACCGCCTACGACATGACGCTAATCCTGGCGGTGGCGTGCGCCGTCGTGCTGGGCGTGTTGTTAAAGAAGCAGCTAAACTCCGCGTTTTTCAGACCGGTTGTGGTACGTTTTAAAGGGACAGGGAAGTCTAGAACTTTGGCAAAAGCCGAATTTGGTGGGGCCTTTAGGCCCTCAAAAATGAACCGAAAAACAGAAAATCGCCTTTTTTGAGATTTTGTTGTTTTCTACGTACTTTATAGCGTCGCAATTTTTGATTACATAGAATGAAAAAAGAGAGCCAAAACCTTGCCTTCTAACCTTCCCTTTAAAAGGTCAGAATTTCCCATTCCAGTTTCACTTCGTCGCTACCATCCTCCTACTCATCGCTCCGATTACAGTAGTCATCGTGTTAAAGTGAGTGCCGGTTTTAAAGAAAGTGTAGCACCGACAATTGTAACTCCAAAAAATCGAAAAATTCTTTCCGCTAATTACGCTATTTTCCTGTTCCAGATATAACCACCTGCACGGCTCGCGGCTGGCCTGTGACATCACGAACATGATGGTATTCGTCCATTCCATCGTCCACTCCGGGTATTTCATCTACAATCATGAGGATGTCAGGGTACGTTAGCTTACAGTATACCCCACCATACAGTACGCCACTGTACGCAGACACACAATTAAATACAGTATGCTGTGGTATAACTCATCTACTAGTTCATGTTTGTTACGGCAAGCTACAGTACGCTAGGATACGCTACAATACACTACCGTACGCAACAGTTCGATACAGTACGTAGTCATAGAGCGCAATACGAAACGTTATTAAATTACGTAAAGATTGCGCTGCAGTACGCTAAAGCACGTTAATGTACGCTAACAGTCGTATCAGTACGCTACGGTACGTTGCAGTATCAAACATCACGTATCAGTACGCTACAGTACGTTGCAGCACGCTACAGTACGTCCGAGTACTCTTCGATACGTTCCAGTATGTCGCTGTAATTCACAGTACAGCCCCTGCACAAAATTCGTTAAGTACACTACAGTACGCTAGATTGCTGTACAGTACGCTACATCACCCGACATTACGCTACATTCCTTTACAGTACGCTACAGTCCCCAGCAGTACGCAACAATACGATACCCCTTCAACCCCCCCTTCAAACCATAAATCCCATTTCAGCAAGGCCTCATCGCCACTTTCTGCAAATGCCGCGTGTTGACAGCCATCCGGAGAAGGTCTTGCGTCGCGTAACGTTGCGTACCCTTCTACCGTATACCCCTCGTCTGTAGCCAGCTGTACACCTGCGTATTCTGCCGTAATGTTTGATCGGTTCCCGCTCTTCGGATTCCTCACTGATCTCTGCTCACCTACGTTTTTGGGTTAAACTTTTTACGGGTTACTGAGCCTTACTCTATTTTTTGTCACTTGTCATTTTACGGATTCTTCACGTGTGTTTTTTTGGGATATAAAATTTTATGTTAAAGCTTTCCTGGCACACGAGAAGATCACAGCATTTGGAAATTCGGGGGATATTTGAATTTTTGAGAAAAATTCTGAATTTTCGCGCCGGAGAATAATAAAATTGACTGAATTTAATGGCGTTAAATTAATAAATATGAATTATATTTTTTAAATAGGACATAGACTACAAAGAACAGCTAGAAACACAGCTGGTAGCCCTCGGCGGTTCGGACTTCGATGGAGGAAACTTCGAATCGGGCGGCTCCGAATTGATCGGCCTAAAAATTTAGACTTCTGCAAGCTCTCTCTCTCTTTCTCTCGCTCGGACTCTCTCTCTCTCTCTCTCTCTCTCTCTCTCTCTCGTCTCTCTCTCTCTTTCTCTCTCACTCGCACCTTATCGTGATACAAAACCAGCGAGAATTGATGCACCGATTCATCGATGGCGAATTCAACCTTCTTCGGCTCAGGTGACAATACTCTAAAGGGACAGTGAAAGTAGAGCTAAGCCCTCAAATTCCGTATTGCTACTATGGGCACAGCAGGAGCCTGGCGTCCATAGTATAATTACGTACCTCGGTCCCATCAACTCGTGGCAATTATCCGATTCCGAATCGGCATCCGAGCACAGCAGGACCCGGGAGCCGAATGTGAACTGAAAAAACTAGAGTTTTTCTTGTTATAAAGGGACTCGAAAGTGCCGAATTTCAGGTTTTCAAAGGATGGTGACAACAAAAATGGGCAGAGATGAGATTTGCCGGATCAGATAGCCCGATTTGCCCGATCAGGAGGCAGAACAGAATGGCTTTTTGGTTTTAAGTCAATTTTGAGCCGAGTATGAGGATTCGATTTTCTTGCTGTAACCACCCCTTTAATATCGTTAATGCGTAAATATTGGCGACATACCTGCGTAATTTGGAATACAATCGTCGACGGTGAGGGCAAATCAAAGTACGGTGAGCGCAGCACGCATCTAGTAGCGCCTTGGCCGGAAAGGCTACAGACTCCACCTAAAAACGACAAAGTTAACCATTGTTGATTTTTTATTACAATTAATTTAGATTGTTATCTGAATTATACAACGTATTAACTATTAAATCGATGAATAAAAGTTATCAAATTGGAACTAACCATTCGATCCCATCATTATGGCACGATCGCCCGGCTTTTCGACCGGAGACTCGTAGTTGCAAGTGTGTTCTAAAAATATAGAAATTTAGAAGCCGCCAATCGGAATATTTGGTATATTGTGGCTTCACGATACCTTTAAAATCACACTGCAACCGGTTGCACATAATCTGTTCGACTGTCCGCAGCGGGCATACATCGCCGTCAACCTGAAATCGCCTGGTACGGTAGTCTTGACGGAAAAACTCCGGTCTGGTATGTTATAAAAAGCTGGCTATAAGGCTTAATAGGTGGACACGGTATTAAGGGCGCCGAATAAAAATAGCAAACAACCAAGAATTCTATGGCCAAAATCGACGAGGTCCTACCGTAATCGACGGGATCACAATGATGGCATTCTTGCGGGATGAGGCTTCGATGATGATCTGGAAAAAGTATGATCCGAATCTTTCTCTCTCTCTCTTTCTCTCTCTCTCTCTCTCTTTCTCTCTCTTTCTCTCTCCTCACCTCAAATGGTTCTTCAGAAGAGACCTGAACCTCCAATGTACCATTTCGCTTCTTTCCTTCCACGCATTTTCCGAGGGCACAGACTCGAAGGAACCCGAATTCAGATCTAAAGGTATGTTATTAACGAGCAAACTACAAAGTAGAACGGATTTTTATCAGATTCTTATATATAATATATAAAATATATAAGATATGTATTTTGATAACTTTTCCCCGCCACTGTCCCTTCAAAATATCCCACCTCATATAAGTGATGGTAATAAGTGCATTGTATGCGCACGGAATCTCCCGTGAACGGATAGAGGACGCGTCTTGGCCCTTGAGCATCAAGACGGCTACGTTTCCTACAAATCGCGGATTGGTAATTATCCAAAACTCAGAGCTATTTAAGCAAGCGAAACGATACCTTTGATGGCTCTAGGGAGCGGGAAATCTTCCAGTCCATTAGGCGCTGCACCATATTTGAGCTTGCCGTCGTCGTTGACCCTACAGAATGGAGGTTTTGCAAAAACGAGCAAGATAGTGAGAGAGAGAGAGGGAGAGAGAGAGGGAGAGCGAGGGAGAGGGAGAGTGAGAGAGATGTACCATTGATTACAGTGATCCTCCGAAAAATCGCAGTCCAGCGTCAGTCGATAGTCATTTTGGCCCAGTACTGGCTTGGGTTGCAGCCCAAAGAGGTGGGCGACCTAAAAAAGACTTTTCCCGCCGAACGGCCACAATCTGGAGACGAGCAAGCAAAACCTTAGACTTGGAATATACTTACCGTAGGCGGGTCGATGGTAGTGACGGGCAGAGGCGGGTGTTCGGTGCAAAGATGACCTCCGGTGAATTTCAGTTCATCTACCACGACCAAACCCATGGAGTTGGCATCGAATGCGATGACGTTCATCGTGAACTAAAAATTGAGCAAAATATCTAGCTAGCTATCTTTCTCTCTCCCGCTCTCCCGTTCACTCTACCACTCACTCACCCTGAACGGCTTCATGTAGGGCTCGATGTCGATCTGGATTGGGCCCGGTGAATCGTCTTCTGTCAAATAGGCACAGGATAGCGGGACGTCATTGGCATCCACCGAGCACACCTCAACTTGGGTCCCGGCACGAAGCCAGTACCTAAAGATACCGGATTGCTCTCTCTCTCGCTCTCTCTGTCGCTCTCTTTATACCTGAACGACAATGTAGCCGTCTTCGACAAGCAAGGAATCATCTGACTACGCAACACTCCGTACGGTTTTGGGGTCAATGGATCGACGGCGAGGAATAGGAAGGATTTTGAGGGTTTGGACGTGGAGCGCGAGGCCTAGAAATTTCTCAGATTTCTAAAGGCGATGTGACCTCTGTTAATTCGTACCACCGATCCGTATCTCTTCCAATTCGCCACTCCGAGACGGTTGAGTACGTGTTTGTCCATCTGAACGGTACGGATATCGTTATCTCAGTATCATTTTCTCTCCCTCTCCCCCTCTCGCTCTCTCCCCCTCTCTCTCTCCCGCTAGCTCTCTCTTTATCTCTCCCTCCAAAATTTTGAAAACGGCCGTACCTACACCCCTTAATCGGATCGACACATTCCACGTCTTTCAAAGCTGACGGATGTGGGCGTGGCCTGGGGTGGAGTGCAACGGAATTGAAGAGTAGAGGGAAAGCTAAATGGATTTAGTTTTACATTTAAAAAGGCACCTACGAGATTGTGAGCATAAATCGGCGTCCACCTTGACGCCGTTGATCAACGCCATCGAGCCGACCGTGTTGTCCTTGAGGTTGAAGGCTCTGGAATTTCGGTAAGAAGTTTAAAGGGGTTGAAGACACGAAGAAGCGTTCCCTTCCACTCACCTAATAGCAAATCTGAATGGCTGACTAATAGCCGGAATCGTGGCCGAGCAAACGTGGCCGCTGGTTTTCATGAAATGACAATCTGACTTGGCACGTTCGAGAACCTAAAAGATGAAGATATCAGGTTTATCTTACTGTAGAGATATTTTAAGGCTTTAAAGACTAGCTAAGGCGATAAAATTTAGATTATTGGACAAAATTAAAAAAAAGCCTAAAAACCTACCATCAACCTTCCTCTTCTCAATTCCGGTCTGACGGCCACCACCTCGACACGGGCATGGTTATACAGCCAGTAGCTGAAAATGGAGGTGATTTTGAAGGGACACGAAAGGCAAAAATCGGCCCTTCCTCTACTAGGTCTCGACAGCTACGGTGCGCGCCAAATGACACGCAAAAAAATAATTTTTGCAGCTGCTGAGAACGTCACGTTTATGAAAACTCCAGCATGCCTCACGAGCTTTTAGATATTTTAAGTATGTCTTCTTAAAAATTTTAAATCCTGGAATGTCGAGACCTAGTCGATAGAAAGGGTCGACATTGTGCTCCATAGTTCCTTTAACCCCGAATTAATGCCTTACTTGAAAGTGACATTGGCCAAACCACGTTGACAGGCCACTGGGGCACTGAGAAGCACGGCCGATTGGGCTTTTCGCGTAGTATTTCCGGCCACCAGGAATACGGTGCCTAAATGTATTCGTTAGAAAACACCCAAAGTACCGTACCCTGTGAAGGAGCAGCATCTCCTGGCTGGATTTGGACGGGAAATGGCTTAGTGTCCGTTTTCTCAAAAAGCCACCACTGCGAGGTGTCCATAAGTCCATCAGAACCGGCGTTTTTCCAGAGGCAATCTTTCTGAAAAGGCTAAAGTTTATGATTAAATCAACATATTTAATTTTGAATTATCGATACTAGTTCGAACTTGTGACGATACCTTCGGCTTTAGAAAAAAGATCACGATCAAAAGCTCCAAAATTGTAATAATACCTTGAAGTCACAGTCCAGGTCGTGCGACTTTTTGACGTGTATTGTGGAGGGGCTTGCCTGTCGAATTTCGCCATCATTTGTGGGTTTTATGCCAAGGTACAGCTCAAGGTATCTAGAAAATGCAGGTCATGGCCAGCTCCTAATGCTTAAGGGATCCGGAACCGTGACAATCGACCCATTAAATCGGCTAGGTCTGGACAACTACGCAATGCTCCAAATGACCTATATCCACAGAATAAAATTCGCTTAAACACACCTTTTTGGCGCGTTATGTAACTGTCCAGACCTAGTCGATGGAAGGGTCAATTCTAGCGCATAACAGTCCCTCCAATTTTGGACTTACCGTAGCTCTTTTTCAAAGCCGGGATGGCAAGCACTGGCTAGCGGGATGAAGAGGAGTAAAAGGTAGATTAGCATTTCTGAGAATAGTTAACATGAAGCACGTGAGTGAGAAAGAGAGAGAGAGAGAGAGAGAGAGAGGAGAGAGAGAGAGAGACAGAGGGGAAGAGAGAGAGAGAGAGAGAGAGAGAGAGAGAGAGAGAGAGAGAGAGGGAGAAAGAGAGAAAGAGAGATAGAGAGCGAGAGATTGCGATAGTGTGATGATTATGAGGGCCGGTGAGAGAGAGATATCTTCCGACTTCCCAGTCCATTTAAAACCACAAATCGATAAATCCTAAGCAAACAGAACAAAAAAAAAAATCGAAAAGCTTATCGTCACCAGCGGTGAGGCTAGAAAATGAGTGTAGCTGGTTTTGAGCCATCCAGTGTGTATCAAGGGGGATAAGGCAGGGTTTGAGGTGTTGGGTTCTCAAGGGGGAGAGGCAGGGAAAAGCCAAAGAAGGGCAGGGCATCACCGACAGTCCGGTTCTTTTCTGCCACCACCATTTCATACATTCACTCCTTCTCCATCTTTCACCCTTTGCTCCTCCTCCCCATCACCTCCCATGCGCTCCAATCCCAAAAAAAGGCGATTTTACCCACGTACTGAGCCGAGAACCGTCGGCTTTCTCGCCCTAGCGCCGAGCTTGAGCTCGTGCCTAGTGCTAGTTTTGCAGCTTAGAGACATTTGGGGTGAGAGATTTGATAAGGGACATCATAGCTAGGGCCTGCTAAATATACGATCTTAAAGGAACGGGAAAGGCTTCCCTATGAATTTTGTTGGCTTTGGATGCCTTATGCATTTCCCTTGCCCGCGACACGTAACGCGCTCGCTGCGTGGGCTTTTGGACACTTTTAGGACCCTTTGGAGACGTGCCAATGTGTCACCTGGAGGTACGCGTATCTGTCTAGACCCAGAGCCCAATGGAGAGCCGATTCTTGCGCATCCGTGCGTTTTTAAATGCTGCAAGGCATGAATTTGATTTTTTTGGCTACCCTGGCTACTTCAGATTATTCCCTACTAACATTTTAGCGACACGCAACGCACGTGCTTCCATTACTTCATGAAAACGTTGGCGTCGCGTTGCGCAGCGTGGCGTGGCATAAACCGAAAAAATCCATCGTAGAGCTCAAGGGATCAGAAAAAGCACGAAAACGTGTAAATTCGCATTTTGCTATTGAGTTTGAGGCGGGTGTAATCGTTGAAAGAAATACTTCGCCTGTACGTGTTTTTTGGAGTGACGCGTAACTGTCGATACCTAGTAGACCGAGGGGTAGATTTTTCATTTTCTGGCCCCATGATGGCAATTTGAAGACTTGGGCCTCGATCTTCTAAGAAGTGGATTTTTATCACCGTATGTTTCTGGAATCCTATGACAATGCCATGTTGAGCGTTGTGCGGAACCTCAGAGGAACAGACGTTATGCTCTCTTTTTAGTAACACAACGATTATAGCGCCGTGCTCATTTTTCTAATCCCGCGTTTGTCATAATTCTGATGTTTTTGCGTTATTTTTGAATAATTTTTGTATAATAAACCCTTTATCAGAAACATCAATTGGCCCAACAAAAAAAATATTCAAAAAGCTTACAACAAATGGATTGGCTATGGTATAAAACGAGGAAAGATCACACGCGCGATTTTTGAGTATCTCAAATGGAGGTGGAAAGTGAATTGCGGCAATTTTTGTATAAACAAAGCAACAAAGACCAGGGGCAAGAAAGCTCAAGGGATGAGGTCCAATAATTTATAAAGCGCCTTAAATTAATTTAAATCCTTGAGTTTAAATTAGGGTTTAATAGCTTATTAATTATCATTTAAATTAAGTTAATATTTTGATAAACCGGATTCGACAGGGATGGCAAGCACACAACAATTTTGATAGGGGGAGATCGCAGAGTATCACAAGAAAAATATCGATTTTAAGGGGGTTGGAAAGTGCAAAAATCGACCCTTTCGATCCACTAAGTCTCGATGACTACGTTAGGGGCCGAAATACGCTAGAAAAAAGCTTTAAAAACAGGTTAAACGCCTCATTTAGGCAATTACGCAGCTGTCTAGACCTAGTCGATCAAATAGGTTAATTTTTCACCTACCCCTTTAAAAGTGCGAACAGACTTGTATAATTTGGCAGCATCACAAAAGGCGATAGGAAAAGCGGAAAAATGATCTTCAACCTTTTAAAGGGACCGTGACAGCGGAAAACTAAAAATCCAGAAATTGCTGGCCCACTCGCTTTAAAAACCTGAAGAAAATAAAAGTATAGAAGACTTTTAAAGGAATTTGGAAGCAAAATTCACAGAAAATCTTTAGAATTTTGCCTTGCGAGTCCCTTTAAAACATCAGAAATTTAATCAACGCTGAAAAGTAGTGGGGTACTGCTTTCGGCGCTGATATGTGTAGTAAGCGTCGTCCATCTCGTCCTCGTATTTTCCGAAACGTGAGAGCGAGCCGGTGGTTGCTGCAAAGTTTTTGTTTTAGGACTAATAAAGGAAAGTTGTTTAGCATTCCTAAATTTTTTACAACAAAATCCAAATTAAAGGCGGAAAAAATCCCAGAAAAAGCTTACCGTATTCACTCGTCTCGCGGAAGATCTTATTCGCTGGCGATAGAATTGAGGGTGCCAGAGGATTGTCGCGTAGGGACAATCCTCCTACTGGTCTGGGAAGAGGTACATAGGGGTCTGACGGAACACGATCTGATCCTGATGCCCATCCTGCAGCACTTCCTCCACTGCCCATCCGGCTTCCGGCATATTCGTCTGAAATGTTAAGAATTTTATTTGATCATCGGGGCATTTTGTCATATTATAGCGTATCCTAACGTATCGTAACTTAAAACTGCTCGCGATATCGTAGCGTAAGGTATCGTACACAACGTAACAAGACTATACATAACGTATAGTAGTGTACTACGAAAGGCTCCAGTACGCTGTGAAATATCTAACCGAACGCAGCGTAGTGTACTGTATCGCACGACCGTATCTATCGTATACCGTAATGTAGCGTACTGCGTCGAAAATTAACGTCTCTTCACATAAGGTCTCACTTACGTTTCTGACAGCGTAGTTTCGTAGCGAACCTTTTATAACGTACGGTAGCGTATTGCACCTTATCCTAACGTACTATTTGGATAATAAATGCTTTCCCCCTTAAAAGCACCCTTAAAATGATCTAAAACCTACCATGTAAAAGCGGAGAAGTACAGCCATGCTCGTCAGCCATGCTCTTCGGCGGTTCTCCCTTTACCCAAAGGGTCTCGACACGATCCGTTTGATCCTCCTAGAATTAGGAGTTTATCTGGGCCGAAGAAAGAAAGAGTGGGAGAGAGGGCGAGAAAGCGAGAGAGTGAGAGAGACATCAAGACACCCTAAAACTTACTGATCTCCCAAAAGCACAGGCCCAGACGAGAATGTAAAGCGACGTCAGCAAAAGCAGAATCGACGACACCATCTCGCCCAATCCAGCCGATAGCCAAGGCATTGAGGGTAAAAATAGACCGCCAGCCGTGTAGGTTACGGTCAAGGATGTCTAAATACAAAAGTTAAAGATATCCGGAATCCTCGAATTCTTAAAAAATTTGAATTTTAGTAACTTACGAGAAGGAAATGCTGGCATAGGGCTTTTCGGAGGGCAAATTTGACCACGGCCACCTCGAAGTGCTTGTCGCGGGAGATGAGAAGGCAAGTGGCGCATGCGTAGAAGGAGAGCTGAAATGGGGAGGTGTAAATTGGTGTGTAGTCTAGTTTTCTCTCGTTCTCTTTGTCTCTCTCTCTCGCTCTCTCTCTAACCAACCAGTAGGAACAGCGCAATTGGGAGGGCGATGGTCCAAAATAGCCAATGCGACGGGGCCAGTGAGCAGGTGGCTGATAGCAGGAATGAGACGACGGATAGACAGCAGGGTAGGGCCATTCCAAGGAGGAGACATACCGCAGCACTGAAAATATCGGATTTAGGGAACCATCTCGCGGCAAAAAATGTACGATATCTAATTTTCAGTCATCGGACCTACCTGGTTTGCGTATTCCCCTCAGCTAGCATCCGGTAAAGGTGGAGGGAGTACAGGAAAAGCCAGCAGTACGGTGAGACCGTAGTGAAGGAGAGGACTGCGTTGCGGACGCCGCAGAACACCTAAAAAAGCAGAACTGGAGAGTGAGACGGAGAGAGAGAGATAGAGAGCGGGAGAGAGAGAGAAAGCGAGAGAGAGAGAGAGCGAGTGAGAGAGAGGGGGGAAAGAGGGGGGGGGAAAGAGGGGCGAGGGGAACAGAAAAACAATATCTAACTCACCGCGTTCACAGTAGCCTTATGTAGCAGATATATCGTAGCTGCGTGAGCAGCAAACGATAAGATGAATGCGACCCGGACTGGGCGAGTCCTCAATCCCCTTCTTGACAACGTCAACAACAACGACATCAGCAGAATGACGAGCGAAGATAAGGCAGAAATGGGGCCGACCATCGATTGGCCGAGGGAGAGACGGACCTGAAGAGTTAAATATAGTAGTTAAATTGCTTAAACCTTGGAAATCGACACTTAAAAACCCACCAAAACGCCACTATCGGCCCTGAGATGAATTGTGTAGAGTCCGGGGAGGTGGAAGAGGCAGACGGCATGGGTAGCATTTAGCCCCGTTAAAACGGCTCCTCGCACGGTCCATTGTTCATTCTCTTCTGCCGAGTGACGGACGCATTCCGGGAATTTCCAGCCGGAGTCTTCTCGAAGGGGAAACTCGACGAGGATGGGTTGGGTGGTATTGGCCGAGACGGAGACGATTGCTGTGGAACAACGAGGGCAACGAGGGTTGGCAATTATCTGGAAATGGGTAGTTGTTCTCTCTCTCTCTCTCTCTCTCTCTCTCTCTCTCTCTCTCTCTCTCTCTTCTCTCTCTTTCTCTCTCACTCTCTCGCTCGCTCCCTCCCTCCCTCTCACTCACCTGATAAAAGGCCAGCGTCGAATCATCCGCAATCGTAATCCTTATATCCGGAAATCCCTCCACTCGATCGTCCACAAAGTTGTTGAACTTTGGCAGTGAATCCCGATTGTCCAGCCGATCCACGGAGAAGACTGAAATTGGTAGTATGCCGGAATTCTACATAAAAATCCTTACAAATTTGTGGCGTCTGGACGGCAAACGGATCGAGATATTTCCTTCTTTGGTGTAGACGAACCAGGGCTTCGCCGAGTTTTTCCAACTTTCGAGGGAGTTCGAGGAAACGTTGGGGTGACTCGTTGGGGAGGAGCTGGAATTGCTGTTTTTCGGCATCTTGGAGATGCAAGTTTAACGGTTGAGTTCTTCTGGCTTTCCCAGTCCCTTTAAAACGAAATAGCCAGTTTTCTAGCGGCTTTTAGCATGTCATTCATGGGTGCCCGACTCGTGCATCATTACTGCGCGCTCTCTCTACCGTACCTGCCCAGCCGCCTCGACCAGCCGATGCACAAATTGATGATCATAAAGATGGGCAGATGGTCCTCCATCTGCATCCGATTCTCCGGCGGTCTCCATATCCAATGCTCTTCCGATCCCGATCCGAGCCATTTCCAGATTTCTTCCCTTCCATTCTTCCGCTTGGTCCGATTGACTGGCGTTCCAGACTGTGGCTACTAGCTCGGCAGCGCTCAGGGAGGAAGCCTAGAGGAAAATAGTTAAAAATAAGCTATGCCATGATAAAAATGTGCGTTACAAACTTCAGAAAATTTTTGAAAATCTAAAATTTGAGGATGGAGTCGTTGAAATAAAGGTTAAATGGCTTCAAACTATGCCGAATCTTCATAGTCAGGCATACCCGCGTCAACAGATTCGAGAATTCCGCTCTTGTACAATTGTCGTCCTGTACCGGTTGCCATTTGCCGGTTTCTGCGCACTTTCGCGTAGCTAGCCCGATCTGAAAATTCCATAGAATTAAGGGCAGAGAGAGAGAGAGAGAGAGAGAGAGAGAGAGAGAGCAACGGGGGCGATACTCAATACCGTACCTGTCCATTAGCACACGACTGTCTAGCCGTAGCTCCTCGTACTGTTGTTGGCCACTGTACTGCTTCGTCGATCTGTGAGGGGCAGCGATCTCGCAGCGACAAACAGCGAAGAGATTTCGGATCGAGAACCTAAAAATGTGGCATTTTAGCTTTGAAAAAGTCGTTTTACTCAAATTTTAGAAAAAATTCACATGGTGCCGAATTTTGAATAATCCGAACTTGCCGAAATTTACGTTCGCCTTACCTGCGTCTCCACCGGACATCGATCACACCTCCTTCCGGCCGCTTCACCAGCACATGAACATTGCCCATTCTCCGGGTCGCACTCCAGTGACGTCGCTCCAAGTCCGCACTCGCAGCGCACGCAGCGCCCACCGCTCTCCCACCATTCGCGCTAAAACGGCATGAGCATGAGCATGAGTATTGGACCTACCGGGCACAAGCACTGGCCGGTATGTGGATGGCACTGAGCGGCAAATCCCTTCGCCGATGGGCAATCGCATCTCCTGCATTCCCCGAATCGTCCCCACCAAGCGGATGGGCAAGTACGAACGGCTCCAAGACTTTCGCAATTGACACCGACGCGGCCTGAAAGCAAACGTTTTTTGAGGCTTCATAAGTCAAAAATCACTAAAAGGTTTAAAAATCTATACCATTAGCACAGTGGCACTCGTAGCCAATCGTACTATTCGTCTGGACACAAATTCCGGACGGGCCGCAAATTCCTTCTAGGGAGCAGATCGGGTCGCACGCAGCACCGGCGTATCCTGTAACACGAGGTTTTTGAGACAATGAAAGCAAGATAGAGCGAGAGTGAGAGAGAGAGAGAGAGAGAGAGTGGGTGAGAGAAAACCTACCCGGATCGCAATCACATCTATGCCCATCCCAGAATGATCGGCACATCGAATTTTCGGGACAAGATCCGGCCTGGCAGCCCCGGGTGGAGACGCAGCCCTGGCGGATCTAAATACATTTTTTATCGAATTTCAGCATTTTCTGGCTTCTGGATATCAGTGTGCCATCAGGTTCAAGACGTTCAACTAGCTCGAAAATCCTTACTTTTCCAGTATTCTTCGTCTTCAGCGGCAGTCCATTCATCTGAGCCTCCCGGATGCAGCCGTCAAAACGAGCCGGATGAGAAGTGGACGGAGCGATGCCGGAGTAAAGGGAGGAGATGGATAGTCCACGACCACTGAGGGGTTGTGTAGCCGTGTAGATGCCGTCGATGATCGTCGTCACCTCGTCGGGTTTGAGCTCGAGCTCCACCTGAAATTTAGAGTTAAATCTTGCTCTCTCCCCCCCCCCCTATCTCTCGCCTTCTCTCTCCCTCTCCCTCTCTCTCTCTCTCTCTCTCTCTCTCTCTCTCTCTCTTTCTCTCGCTATCTCTCTCTCTCTCTACCTTTGTCCAATGCCCTCTCGCCGCATCCGGGCAGGTGATAAACGTGGTGTTCTGCCCGATTGTCGACTTCAGGAGTCCGTTTTCGAGCTGCAACTCATAAATTACGTCGCTAGAAGCTTGTGTAATACCTCCATCCTGTAGAACAAATTCTTCTCGTCGAACTCGATGACAAACACCTGGGTGTCATCACGCAAAGTTCGGAATTCAAGCGAGACTTCCAACGGTATGGTAGAACCGGAGGGGACCTGGAAAGGTTTATTTTTCTGACTGTTCCGTGCTTTTTTTTGGCTTAAACATGTTCAGAAGCGCCGAGAAGGGCAAACTCGATCCCGTCCGTCGCCTAGATCTTAACAACTACGCGACTTTCCAAATTACGGTGTGGAAAAGCTATGGAAAAACATCAGAAACCATCCGGAAATTCAAAAAAATCCACTACCTTCCAGAGTACGAACGACTCTTCTTCAGCCAACGTCATCTGTCTGAGCCGTCCCTTATCCTGTAGACAATCACCGCCCTGGTGATGAGCATGTGGGCATCTGCAGTTGAAGCCGAGCCACCGGTTCACACAATGCGCCCCGTGACCGCAATTTGCATCCGCGCAAAAGTCGCGCTTCGGGCTGCAGCCCTAAAAAAAAATGATTTTTGAATCTTGAAGATTGTTCTCTAATACTAAAAATTATTTATAGTAATTTTCGAAAAAATTATGGGATTTCAAAACTTGCCTCATCAATATGCCCAATTTTCTCAAGCTGGTCCAGATTCGAAAAATCGACCAACTCTCCATCGATCGTCAGGTTGGCCAGGCATCCGTGGAACCCGTTTTTCACCTAAAATAATATTAATCAAGTTATTTTAAAAGTCTTAAAAGTTTGAAAACCACATTCCGCAATTTTGGAGCAAAAAGCAAAAAGGCTGACGAGAGTGGGATTCGAACCCACGCCCCCGGAGGGACTGGTGCCTTAAACCAGCGCCTTGGACCGCTCGGCCATCTCGCCACGGGGCTGAGCACTCACCCGGGGCTCTTTGAGGCGGGGGCCCGCCAGGGAGAGGCCGGCAGAGGAGTCGAAGAAACGATGGCACGGGACGGTGGCATCGAGACACCTAAAAAAGGGATAAAAAGGAGATTGGAGATTAGAGATCAGGGAATTTAGGAGGGGGCATACAATGCTACACGGGAGGGGAGAGAAAGCCTACCGGCGTGATTTTGATTGTGTTTTTGAGAGATGAGAGCGAGAGGAGAGACAGAGAGAGAGAGAGAGAGAGAGAGAGAGAGAGAGAAAGAGAGAGGGAGAGGGAGAGAGAAATAGACCGACATTCTTTATCCTCCTAGTTTTATACTTACTTTGCCGGTAAATCTATCGTAGCTCTAGCGGCGCATCCCGGAGCTCCAACGGCCAACTTTGCAACGGCCGGATCGCAATCATCGAGTGTCAATGTCAACGTCTAAATTTTTCCAATTTTGGAAATTACGATATTTTATACGATTACGGTAGCTTTAAAGGCCTCGGCAACTGAAAACCCACCCTATCCAAATACGCCAACGTCGCCATATGCCAATGCCCATCATTCACGCGGTTGTCTTTGTCCTCACGCAGTCTTACGGTTTTCGACTCGCCTCCCAGACTAAAATAATTCTGTTCAAAGTACTCTTAAATCATTTTCCACGGTCTTAAAAGTCCAACAACCCACCTAATCTCTGCAGTCAAAATCCTGTCGTCCAGCTTCAATTCCACAAAATCGCGTCCTTTTTCTCCCGCAAAAAGGAGTGTGCCGGAACGGGTGATCGTTGAAAAGCTAAAAATGACATTTAAATGTTGCCAGTTACGGTAGCTTTACCTCAATTGAACGGTCCATTCAATCCGCGGTAAATTTCTCGGCAGCCTCAAGAGGGAGTGACCGCCAAAATGGAGCGAGCGCAGACGGCATCTGAATTCAATGCTTTTAAAGGGAGCTTGACTTAGGCTTGACTTAGGCTTGGCTTAGGCTTGGTTTAGCTTAGGCTTAGCTTAAGCTTAACTTAGGCTTAGCTTAGGCTTAGCATACCGTTCATCCGAATCCCTATCGTTGTGGCGGCATTTTGTGCACTTCATCGTTTTCTCTGGCGTGAGTTCGCAGGTAGAACCTTCTCTACAGTATCCGGGCAGGCATGTCTCAACCCGAGTCGAAAGTTCGCAGGATTTGCCTGAAATTTAGCGCATTAACGAGAGCTTTGAGATTTGAAAGTTACTTTATTTTTTGCGTTTTTGTGGGCTTTGCACTGTGTAAAAAAAAGTCGTTTTGTCGTAAATTTTCTAGCGTTAATTTTGGTACGTAAGAATACGCTGGAAAATCCAAGAAATCTGCGGTACGGTAGCCAACTTATTTTCTAACCATTCCAGCCCACCCCCTCCTAAAATTTTCTAATTGGTCATACTGGAGCTTTTCCCCCTTGCCCTGTTCGTAAATAGAAATGGCGCGTAGCTTCTCTTGAGGTACGCTAATTGCCGTTGTACATCTATAGACGGCAAGGCGTCCGCTTTAGCCAAAGGATTCTAATTGTTGCCCTCGCTGTCCCCGATTTCCTATAGACAGACAATGAGTGGTCAAGAGCCGCCGAATGCCTGAGATTTCTATACAGATAATGATAGGGAAATTGTTCTTACGCTCTCTCTCGCTCTCTCTCGCTCTCTCTCACCCCCCCCTCTCGCTCGCTCTGGCCATCTATAGTTCAAAAATCCAGATAATTGGTGGCATGGCTGGAAAGTTTGCAAAATATTTCCAAAAATCTGAAATTATGCGAACTTTTGGAAAAAATTCGAAATAATAAAGCCGTTGTTCTAGTAATCTATCAAAGTTCCGCAATAACCTCTGCTTGCTAGCCCCGTTAAGTAGCTAAAAACTGGCTAAAATTCAATAAAACAAATGCTATTGTATTTTCTACGTCCCTGATATCCAAAATCACCACTTTTCCACCCGTGTCCACACAACACCCTAATTCCGTCTAATTCCATCATAACCGGGGATGCAGAGGGATGTGCCCTTGCTTATGAGAAGCCAGCTATATTGGCCCATCTGTCAACCTAAGCGGCTCTCTCTCTCTCTCTCTCTCTCTCTCTCTCTCTCTCTCTCTTCTCTCTCTCTCTCTCTCTCTCTCTTTCTTTCTACCTCCCTATCTCTCGCCCCTCATTTGCATATCATCCCGCTGCCCCCAAATTGTTGACACCTCCGTCCCAAACAGGAAGGGCTGGAGGCGCCTAATGCCAATTCCGCCAGCCGCCAATTGACGCCCTCCTTCTGTTATAACCGATTTAAAGGGCCCGGCAACACTCGAAAATGGATGGAATTGGGTGCTGATGAGGTGTGAATCGGGAATAGCTATTCAAATGCTCGCGACGAAATTTCCGAAAGAATCGTTGCTAGCTGGCCTCAGCAAAAATTGTGAAAACCGGCTCGAGAAGGTTTCCTAAGGAACCTTTGCTAGGTTGCCCTTGGTCCAAGTGTAAAAAACAAATGCGCACAATGTTCCGCAAAGGATCTCGGCTAGTTTGCCTTGCATAGCCTTGGAAAGTGACTCGGCGAGGTTTCTTAAAGGATCTTTCCTAGATTGCCCTTGACCGGATCACAGAAAAAGTAAGTAATAAGACCTTAAAAGTCCCAAAAACTTCTGCTAGCTTGCCGGACATACCGGAAATGACCGTTTTAAGATAGCCTTAAAAGAACTCTGCTAGGTTTTGCGGGAAATCCCTATGACTCTCTGCCAGTTCGCTCAGTGTTGGTCCGTAGATTAGCCATTTTCTAAAGGTTCTTTGCCAGTTTCCCTCCTGGAGTAAGCTGTGAGTAAAAGCATTTGAAAACGCCAAGAATCCCAAAGAATCTTTGCTAGCTTGTCCTCGACTTCATCGGTAAAAAATGTGATCTCTGCTAGCCTGCCTTTCCTTGAAAATTGTTCATTAACAATCCCAAAGATTCACAGATTATCCTGGTACAGTAATTTTCCTTAAATTCCAGTAGGCTACTATAAAAAAATTTGGAATTATCGAAAGTCTAAAAATTCCCATAGATTCCTCCCTTCCCATTTCCTTTAACAAATTAGCATCAGTCCCCCATTTCCCCATTTCACACCCCAGGAGGGCCCTAGTATCCCATCAGCACGAAATTCGATGCCTTTTCTAGGGGGTGTTGAAGGGTGTCGCGTGTAGCCCCCCTGGGGTACCCCCGATCGTCCATTCTTCAGCATTTTAATTAAAGTGGTCGCTGTGGGACCGAAGAAAGGACCCACCATAGCCACATAAACACCCTTTTGTGCACCTTTTAATTGTGGAATCTAGCAGAATTCGCGTTCAATTCTTAAGGGCCATTCAAGACAAGAGGAACGCTTCTTGCAAAACACTCGAAAATTTACGAATTTCCGGCGTAAAGAGGAGCGTAGCGTCCTCGAGTACAGCGAGCGTTTTACGGTACATGTTATCAGGCGTTACTGTAACGGAAAAAATTTCGAAAAAAATGAGGTAGATTTTTAGGGCAGGATTGTACGTTACTGTACGCTCCAAAAAAACCGAGAGTGCTTCCCCGTATTTTTGTATCAAAACGTACCCATCCAGCCGGGTTGACAATGACATCTGAAGCCATCTTCAAGCGCCTGGCAGCTGCCATTGTGCTGACATGGGCCAGAGAAGCACTCGTCAAGCCGAATGTTGCATGATTCCGGCATTTCCGGTGAGCCTGAAACGTCTGGATTAGCCTCGATTACGCTTAAAATCGCGAATTTTAGGGCTTTTAGAGAATTTAGGAGAATTTTTACTCTCTCACTCTTTCTCTCGCTCTCCCTCTCCCTCTCTTTCTCTTGCTCCCTCGTCTGTCCCTCTTCCTCTCACTCTCTCGCTTTCGTACTATTTAATTCCGGTTTCACCCCCAATTTCAAAGTAGCAAGCCGTTCGTGTCGGCAAGACCAAACTTGGGCGGCTGTCACCGAGCCGTCCCCCCTAGCTATTCAATTAGTGCCAACAAGCCATCAGTATTCTTCTCTCCCTCTCTCTGTCTCTCGCTCTCCCCCTAACCATTCCGATTCCACCCCAATGCTAATTACGTCGAGTACGCGAGTGGGGTGACCCTTTTCGGGAAGGGACACCGGCCGATTAGAGTGGACACCCTAGTGGAGACCGGAAACATCAGCCGATTTGGAGTGATGAGCATGAGCTAAGTCAAAGCCAAGCATAAGCAAAGCCTAAGCCAAGCCTAAGCTAATTTTAAGCGAAGCCTAAGCCTCATTTTTCATTTTTTTGGCTTTAAAGAAACTCAGAAGCCAAGCTTTCCAAAACTTACTCGAAAACCCTCTCGGGCATTCACACGTAAAAGTGCGCAGCGTCTTCAGCGAGTGCGCCAAAAAGTTGTCGGTTTGGTGGAACTGGAAGAAGATTGTTAGAAACGATTTAAAGGGAATAGAAAGGCAAAAAACCTTTACAAGCTCCAAAAATAGCTCACCTCAGCCCCCAGATGCTTCAAGGTATCCCGGCATTTTTGATAGTAAGGGCACGGCTCTCGGAGACAGGCATCTGATGAAGCCAGCTCGATGTCGAGGAGGCTCAATTCTGATAGACGGGGCAGGGAGCCGGCGATCAGTTCGGAGACGCGGTTTCCACTGAAAAAAGGACGTTATAGAGGGTAAATCGCGTTCCTTATCTCACGCTTTTTCTCTTGTTCTTGCTCTTTCTCTCTTTCTCGCGTTTTTAACTATCTCTCGCTCTCCATCTCTCTCTCTCACTCCGCAAAATTATGATATGAAATTTATACTCTGCCCCATCTACAGTATGAACAAAAAAAATTAATCGGGGGGCAAACATAAAAAATAACCCTTAAAATTTTATAAAAAAAAATTTCAAAAAAAAAAAATTTAAAAAAAAAAATAAAAAAAAAAAAACCTTTAAAAAAAAAAAAAAACAATAAAAAAAAAAAAAAAATAAAACTCAAAAAAAAAAAAAAAATTTTTTAAAACCTTTTTTGAATTTGGGAGTGGGGAACTTTTCCCGTTACTTCCCCCCCTTCCCTTCCCCTCAAATATCCCTTTCAAATCCCTTAAATATTGCCCCTAAAATCGTGCAAACTTTATATTCCACTCCTCCCCACCCAAGCATTTCCACCCATCCCCCTTCCCTACCCCAAAAACAGCAAGTGCTAATTCGTCTCCGGGGAATCGAATTTCCGAAATTTTTCACCCGTCCCCGGGGCTGTCTCCCGCCCTACCCCGGAGGGCACATTCTGAATGCAAATGGACTCGGTGACATGGCAAACTGGCAGAGAAGACTGGGGAGAGAGTCTTATAAATTTCGGTGGGCGCTGAAATACACACTCACTCCGTTACGATACTCTGTTGACACCTGGAGAGAGAGAGGGGAGGGGGAGATAGAGAGAAGAAAGAGAGAGAGAGAGAGAGAGAGAGAGAGAGAGAGAGAGAGAGAGAGCGACCGACGGTCCCGTCCACAGGTGGAATATGCAAATTTGATGGATGGCATGGGTTGCGCGGAAAATTTTGACAAGTCGGTGAGTTATGGCAGGCTATCATGGCTAGTTCCGGACAGGTTAGGGTGAATTTTCGAGCATTAAAGGGAATCGGAAGCTTACCAACGCTGCCCTCTCTCTCCCCCTCTCGCTAGATCAAATCGGCAAGATGTCCAACATATTTTTGACGGTCATTATTGGGTCGTGAAGGGGCGATTGCGCGAGCCGCAGCTGCATGGGATTTTTGGCGAGAGAGGGAGAGAGAGAGAGAGGGAGAGAGAAAGAGCGAAAGAGAGCGAGAAAGTGAGTGAGTGAGAGGGAGAAAGAGAAAGAACGAACACCTGGTCGTTCCCTCATCCCTGACAATGTCGAAAGATTGAGAGGGGGAGATTAAAGGCAAATGACCTTTCTTAGCGACTGGGTTGGCTGGAGGATTACTGTAGCCAGGTCAGATTTTAGAATTTAGCCAAAAAATCCATAGAAGCTGTTAAAAACTTACCTAATCAATCTCGTACGATCAACTACTACGAACGATACTTCCGTCGAGGAATTCTTGGCCATAATTGAGAGTACGGTAATCGAACCCTCGGCCCAAGTGGAAAGAGAGGCGATGCTTTGCCTGAAACACCAGAATTTTGACATGATGCCGTATTTTTACGGTATCAATTAGATGAATACGTACCTAAACCTCGCGTACACATCCGGATCCAAAAAGTCGTCGACAGTTGTGGTGCGTAGGGATACCGTAACCGCTTCTCCGAGCCAGCCATCTTCCACCCAGGTATACAGTAGACGCAGTGGATTGCATACCGTGTTTGCGCCGTCTAAAAATAGTAAAAAGTGATAAAGATACAGAGAGAGAGAGAGCGAGAGAGAGAGAGAGAGAGATCAACTTTATCTGACCAAAAAAACCAACCGGAAACGCATGCTTTCACTTGAGCATCAATGTTCCGCTTCCACGCTCCTTTTAGAGTGATTTTTCCGGAGTACCGATCGACGGCAAGCAGTTCGTTCGTTTCCAAAGAGTATTCCAGCGTAGCGTTTTGATCAGGATCGCTAAAAGAGTTTTTACAATTACTTTTCAGGATTTTTCTTGATTTTCGAGGCATACTGCGGTATCGCGTACTGAAGTATCGACACGGAATTTCCCCAAAAAACTCACAAAGCTGGCAGCGAGCCAAGTCGCTCAAGCCCCTGCCCACCGGTCATTCGATTGACCAAGAGAATTGAGGGCCGGAGGGATGGTGGATGATCGTTGACATCAGAAACGTGGACTCGGACAGGTACCGTACTCGAGAGTTGTCCACTGGAATGATACAATCAGCTTTTAAGGGGCTGTGAAGCACGAGAATCGATCCCTTTCCATCGACTGGATCTAGGCAGGAACGCGTGATTCACAACACGCGGTCAGAAGTTTTTAAATCATCTCTAGGCGTGGTTTAAAAGGTGGTGTAAATGTCGAGACCTATTCGAGTGAAAGCATCGATTCATCCACTTTATAAGCCATTTTAAAGGAACCGAAAAATCGTAACAACTCGTTAAGTTCCGCAACAATAATCACCTAGATGCCTGGACCTCCAGGTGGAAAGCGTTCGTCTTGCTCTCGTAGTCGAAAGGCTGGCGGGAGAGGAGACGAGCCACGCCTTTCTAAAATAATTGAAATCAGGCTTATAAAATTGGTAAAAACAAACTTGTTGTGGATCAGCTTCCAGCTCAAAAAGCCGCGCGTCGGTTCCGCCAAAAACTCGGAACTCGATGTCTGCGTTGGAGCCCTAGAATTTGGCTTTCAAACCATAGCTCTCTCTCTCTTTCTCTCTCTCTCGTTTTCTCTCACTCTCTCTCTCGTTTTCTCTCACTCCTCTTTCTCCCTATCTCGCTCTCGCTCCCTCTCACTCTCACTCTCCTGCTCACCTCATCCGGATCCGTCGCCACCAGCGTCCCCACAAGTGTCCCAGCAGGTTGATTCTCTGCAATCCACAGATCATAGGACGGTTGAGAGAATTGAGGAGCATTATCGTTCACATCCATCAGCATCACTGTGATCATCGAGTGAGCACGAAGCGGAGGCTGACCACGATCTTCTGCGTATACGGGGAGCGTCATCCTGGAATTAATTAGCTTGTCAAAAGCCGCAGCCCCAAATTTTGATTGTCCCAGATGCGTTAAAAATGGGATTTTTGTTCATGGAATTCCTATGACTCCCAAGTTGCTTGAATTTTCACAATTTTCTCAATTTCCACGTAACCCCTTGCAACAGAATCGTTTTTCCCCTGCCCTCGAAATCGTAAATGGGATTCTCCGCTTGGTGCGAGGCCCTGGTGGTGGTGTCCATGGTGCCCTGAGGGCATTCCCCTCTCTCCGTTCCGTCGATAGGAATATATCGTCCACCCCTCTCCCCGAGTCAAGTCTGCCGATTCTGGCCCTGAGGCTAGCCAGCCAGCGAGTCGCAATTATACGCGCCGCGGACTGCACGTCTAAAAATGGGGCTAGCGGAGGGGGAATGGCATACGGGGAAATTGGGAAGCGAACCAACCATGAATGGGAAAAGTTGTATTAGTTTTAGAACGGCATTAGTTGGGTAGTGGAAGTTACATAATTCGAAAGCTACATCGCAAAAATCGACCCTGACCTCGACTAGGTCTCGACACTCGGAAAAACGCTTGATTTTTAGGGCAAAATTCCGTATTTTGTAACCGTCGTTTGAAAGAGCTTGTAGCTGTCAAGACCTAGTCGATTAGTTCTCGATTTTAGCGCTTCCAAGTCTCTTTCAGCCGCAATAGTATAAATTTTTAGCTTAACTTCCTGGCCCCTTTAAGACCCGCAAAATGTTTTAAAACTGACATTGCCATTTTCTCCCGATCCAGCTTCTGGTTGACTCGAAGGGTTCCAGAGGTCCGGTCCAGCCGGAAGAGATCGGCTCCGGGACCAGAGGTGTTCAGGAAATAGTCGACAATTCCGTTTGGGCCAGCATCCACGTCCGTTGCGAGGATCTAAACGGAATTTTGGGTTTTCTAAGCATGTGGGTACGTTAATTTTCTCTCTCGCCCTCGCTATCTCTCTCTCTCTCTCTCTCTCTCTCTCTCGCTCTCTCTCTCTCTCTCTCACTCTCCCTCTCAAAAACTGACCTGAATAAACGACGTCCCCACAGCGATATCTTCAGATACGGTAGCCGTGTAGTTTAAAGAAGAGAATTCAGGCACATTGTCGTTTACTGAAAAACAGTTTTTCTTTGCGGTTTCGGATTTTGCGCTTTTTATCGTAGTTATAGTGTTATTTTCCTCTTAAAATCCATTTTTTTGCTGACTGCTTTTCAGATTGAGTGTTGCCAACCCTTTAAAACAATTTTTCCGCTGTCTAAAATTTCCCAATTTCGTTCCATCTACCCTCCGACAATGCGCTAATTCGACAATTTATGCCCCCGCTGTACCCTCTTTTATTCGAGTCCCCCAGATGCCGCCCAGCGATAATTTCTGCCCCCATGTCTCCCCGCGGAAGCGGCTAACCGAAATTATGCAAATTTCCGGCGGGTGCTGCCGAGAAACGCCGGAGGGGTCAAAGCACCGCCCTAATTTCACCCGCACCAACACACTCTATGCTAGCTAGATCAACATCCGGAAATTTGGAATAATTAATGACGGGAATTGGGTGGGGGATGGGTTGATGACAGGTCAAAATTAGGAGTTCGTGCCCGGCTCGAATTTCAGAAAATCGTTCTATGAGAAGCCGATATCATGGCTTCAAATCCCGCAAATATAAAATATAAAAAATATGGCTTTAAATAACCTTTGCTATAAAAAATAGAAAAGTCAGTCCCCTAACGGCAAAAATTTGACTTTTTCAAAAATCGAAAAACGAGTTGAACTTGATAATCCGTATTTTTTTAACATTTTCCAGCCTTTCCGGCGTGTTTAAAAAGCTCAGCAAGCCCCGAAAATCGACCACTACCCTGGACTTGGTCTAGACAGCTACGCAATACTCCAAATGACACGTAAAATCGGAATATGGTCAAAAATTCCAGTGCGAGCTTAAGCCCGGTGCGTAGCTGTCTAGACCTAGCCGCCGGGAGGGACGATTTTTGGCATTTTTCAGGCGCTTTAAAGTGGCTCAGAACACCTAAGGACTTTTTTTGGGTGGATTTCCTACGGATTTTGACCAAAAAGGAATCGGCTTGGGTCTAGCTTCACTTTAGCTTAAGCCTGGCGTAGTCTTAGCTTAGCCCAGAGCCACAATGATGCCTTCCTAGGTCCTTTAATGATATTTTCCGTCCCTAAGTCCTTAAATGCCCCTATGGCACCAAGCCACAATATGGGCCTTCTCAATCCGACTGACCCCCTAAATGACACCCCCTAATCCTGACAACATATAGCCCTCCACGGCCAAGAGGGCATGATTGTTGACATCTCCAGCCATAGAGCTCGGATTCTATAATATGCCCCCCGCTACCCATTTACCCTATGCCTCCACAAGAGGCCGAGTAAGCAAATAGGAGCCCCCCGTAAGGTGTCACACCAGCTGCCAGCCACCCCCACTACCCATGGCTCCTATTTACGGAAATTGGCCCCATCCCTTTAGTGGTGGGCCCTAAGGGAAAGGGGGCCCATTTTATTGGACCCTTCCGTGCTGGGCCTCCAATTTTGTGGCCATGGCAGATAGGGTGGTGAAAGCCGGTGAGTCAGCGGTTTTTAGAGAGGTAATTTTGGAGGAAATTGGGTTACGGTAGCCTACTGTAGTTAATAACGTAATTACGTTTTTAAGGCGATGACCGTCTGGAGAAGATTAGGCTACGGTAGGTGGGCTACGATAGCGTACCAATTACGTCCTCACGAAATCGTATTTTATTTGTATTTGTATTATATTTTTATTTTATAGAAGTCTGGAAACCTTGGGTTACGGTAACTTGCAATACGAGAATGCACTAATTGCATAATTGCAAGTTTTTCGGAGCTGAGAAGTGTTTGGAACTGGGCTAGAACCTGCAGCGGACTGGTACGGCAGTTTCCTAATTACATAATTGTTGTCTGCGCCGGAAAATTGTGGCCAAAATTCCGGAAAATTACGGAATGCGTTATCCCGCTAGTTTCCTATCGTAACAATAATTTAAAGCACTAAAATCCTATTTTCAGTAAGAAATCTGGAAAAAAATTTAATTTATTTAACCAGGGTTGAAAAGCCGCTTCGCGACTTTTCAACCCTTATACGCCTTGGACCCCATTTTTTCGGCCCTTTGCATAATTGCCCTTCATTCAGAAGGCGAAAAAAAGAAAAGCAACCCCATCTGCCTTTTTAAAATAGACGACCGCCCATTCCCGTCTATGCTAATTTTCTTCATAAAAAGTTTTTTTAAAAAAAACTTAAATTTATAAGGAAAATGGCCTAATTTTTCAAAAATGATTTGTTTTGTGCAGTCCATCCCTAGACCATTACGCACCTAATGACGTATCGAACGTAGCGTAATACCCGTCCCTTCTTGAGATATCCTCAGGACAGACAGACGGAAGTGGATGCAAAGTGGCACACACACACAGACACACAGACACTATTTTTTTATATATAGTAGGATTAACGTGTCAGCAATTTAGATAAATTTTCAGAATTGCAAAAAATTAATGTTCAAATTTTTTTAGCTTCTAAAAACCCACCATCATCCAGAATCACTTCAATGCTTGTCGATGAGCTCAAAGGTGGAGATGCCGCATCAGTTGCCGTTACGGTAAGACTAAACATAAGGCTTTTGTTTAAAAATCGGGATCTCCAAACCTGTGGCTGCTCTGCTCTTCCCTATCAAGCGCCGCGGCTACCGTAATCTCCCCAGTGGCATTGTCGATCCGGAAAAGGGGCGAATCGATGGAATATGTGATCTGGGCGTTGTCGCCTCGGTCCGTGTCTTCGGCCTGGAAAATAAGAGATAAAAATAATACAAAAACGGCCGAAAAGGCTGTAAACTACCGCAATGCAGAAATTACTGAAAATTTTCGTAAACGGACTACGGTAACTCAATGGATTACGATAGGCAAATACCGTAATTAGTTACTGTAAAAAATTAAAACACACCCGAATGACCATCACTTGCTGGCCTATGGTAGCGTCCTCGGGGATTCTCACGGAAAATGGTTGAGGTGGGAATCGGGGTGGAGAGTTGACGTCGGTTACCTAAAAATCACAATTATAAAAATTGGTACGGTAGTTCAAGTTATGCCGTCTGTAATTTCTAAAAATACAAATAAAGGATACTGTGGATTATCATGTACGGTGTAAAGTAACGAAAAAGTCAAACATGTACCGAATACGGTAGACTACAAAAGACGGTTTACGGTAGCATCGCATCGTCTCATATTTTGCTAAATAACTCACATAAATATTAATCGAGCAATTCCCCTTCAGCCCTCCATCATCCGTTGCGGAGACTACGAGGCGAAACGAATGGACGGACGGTTGGAGAGGAGAGGAGAGGGACAAAAGGGCTCCCTGAAATATACGGTAATTTAGATACACTATCCCTGAAGCATTACGACATTAAATTTTTAAGGGTAAAATTCATTAAATCTAATCAGTTGATACCTGTTCGCCCAAATCGATGAGCGCGACGAGGCCCTCACGATCCTGGTGCTCGATACGGTAGAAGAGCTTCGAGTTCTCGTCCCGGTCTTCGGCGCGTACTATTGCGATCTAGAAAGAAATTAATTTTTCCTTGCGTACGATAGGCAGCCCGATACAGCCCCCTATCCCTTTAAACCCCTAAAAACCGGACAAACCTGAGCTCCAAGCTGCGTCTCCTCCGACAGCGTGACGTTTATCTCGTTCGGCTTGAAGACGGGGGTGTTGTCATTAATGTCGCGGACCAGGATCGTCATCTGGAATGAAATGTAGTCTTGCTATCTTTCTCTTTCTCGCTCTCTCACCTGCGTCACAGCGGTCAGTTGCGGCTCGCCACCATCCACAGCTCGGACCGTCAACTCGTAACGTTGCGTCTCCTCCCGATCTAGAGTCTTGTTGGCGCGGATTATCCCGGAATCCGGATCGATTCGGAAGTCTGATGATCCCTCGAGGGAGTACGACACTTTCCCGTTGACACCAGCATCTTCATCAATGGCATAGACACGGGCTACTTCTTCTCCTTCGGCTACGCCCTCATCGACAAGGACGGACTTTTGGGCGGCGATGAAGCGGGGAGGCTGAAAAATAGGGTTAGAGAGAGAGACAGAGTGAGAGAGATAGAGCGAGAGGGAAAGAGAGAGAGAGAGGGAGAGAGAGGGAGCGAGAGAGAAAGTAAAAAATCCAATTCAAAACTCACATGATCATTAATATCCACAACTTGCAGCGTCAGTGTAGCCGTAGAAGACAAGGCGGGCTGAGCCCCATCTTTAGCTCGAACTACGAAAGTTCGAATCCCGCCGCGAGCGTCGATTTTTCGCCGTAGTGTTACCTTAAAGAAAATATTAAATATCTAATGAAGTTTTCCATACCTCGCCAGTCTTGTAATCGACATGAAGCAGATCTGAAGACGTCACCATGCCGTAATGGACACGGCCTGAAAATTGTAAAATCGATCGTATTCCACTCGATATCATACCGTTAGCTCCAGCGTCTGCATCAGTGGCTTCTAACCTCGCGATGACCACCGGGACCGTCACGTTCTCCAATACGGTAATATTGTAGGAGTCCTAAAAACGAATTTATAAAGGTGGGCAGCCAGAGAGAGAGCGAGAGAGAGAGAGAAACACATAGAAAGCTCGTGCTCAAAAAGCTATACCTGACTAAAAACCGGCGCGTTGTCATTAACATCATTAATAGAGAGCTCGACCAGAGCGCGTGACGATAAGGGCTCCTTTCCTTTGTCAGAAGCGATCACGTAAAGCCTGAAAATTTGGTTTAAAGGATCCATGAAGCCAAAATCACCTAATCAACGATAATGTTTCCCGGTCCAAAGCCGCAGCCGTCTGGATCACGCCCGAATTCGGGTTAATCGACAGCAAATTCGAGCCCTCGGCCTCGGTTTCCAGCGAATATTCCACTTCTCCGTTCGCGCCGGCATCACGATCACGGGCAAAGACTGAGACGATGGTTGTGCCGATCTGGAAATGGAAGGTTTATTGAAGGTCCTATCATAGTAACGATTTTAGTAGACGAGAGAGATAAAGAGAGCGAGCGAGCAAGCGAGAGAAAGCGAGACAGAAAGAGAGGGGGGAGCGAGAGGGAGAGAAAGAGAGAGAGGATTTTATGAATACCCTGCTGATAAAAGTGACGCGTTTTTATTAAATTTCTCTGCTTCTCTCGCTCTCTCTCTCCTTTTCTCTCGCCTACACCTTTTTCTACGTTTTTTTACGTTTATCGGTTTTCACGTTGGTTTTTGCCCTTTCTACTCCATTCCACCCGTATATCGGTCCTCCATATTTCTTTCTCTCTCTCGCTCTCTCTCGCTCTCTCTCGCCCTCTCTCACTTTCTCTCTCTCTCTCGCTCATAACCCTTTATTCTTTTCATTATTATGGCCACCCCTCTATCCCAGTAGCTGTTATGTGGTGAGGAGACAGATGGGTGGTGGATGGGTATTCTCTACTCCCCTCCCAGCCTCCCAGAAACACCATATTGCCATATTACAGACGGATAGATAGGAAGAGAGGGTGGGTCAGAGAGAGTCCCATCACTACGCCCAACAACTAATTGCGCTATTTTTCGGGATGGCCCACCGGGGGTCACAAGCTGGCGGTGGGAGCCGGAGAATGGGATGCACTAATGGAGTCATAATAGCAAAATAAGAACCATAGAAAACTAGAAATGGCTAAAATTTAATTGCGTAACCGGTTAGTCTCTATACAAAACGAAGCGCATTAGTTTTTTTAATGGCTTAAAAGCTTAATTACATAGCGTACCGGTTGGGCGAACTATTAAATTCATAAAACTGAATTAAATGGCGTAATCAATCAAAATCCGAATTTTGCGGCGTAATCCATTCGCTGATACATCATGTTCTCTATATCCCAGCTTATTAAATAAGAAAGACTATTTTAATAGCGTAATCGGTTCCCAATTTGATTTTTATAGATCCCTCTACTTTTTAAGGTATCCTCCGAGTCTCCGACGCCGCTTTTTTCGCCCTCCCCATGTCCGGGAAAGCTGACCAGAAGCGGCCACAGAGCCAGCCGGACATTAATTTCGGATGAGTGTCCACTAGCATTCTCTCTCTCTCTCGCTCTCTCTCTCGCTCTCTCTCTCCCATTTGACCACAGTCCCCCTCCCCAGCCAGAGGAAGCTGGTAATTAAGAGTCGAGTCTGAAAGCCAACCGAACCCCCGGACACCTGGCACCCCCGTATCCCACCCTAGAAGAGTCGGCAACGCCTTTTCAAGAGCTTTTGGGGTGATTTTTGGTATTGTTTGCGCGTAGGGTCAATGATTTTGAATGAGGAAGAGCGGAAAGGGTAGGAATTTGGATATTTGAGCAGAGAGCTAAAGAAAATCTATAATACCGAATATTACAATCCATCCTATCCTATCCTACTATCCTACTATATATAAAAAAATAGTGTCTGTGTGTGTGTGTATATTTGCATGCACTTCCGTTCGGATGTTCCGCACCTACAGCCTCGGGGAAGGGTTTTTTGGATAGGGAAGAAACGACAATAGGTTTAGAATGGTCCGGAATCGACTGCACACACATAAAAATTTTGAAAAATTGTGGTTTTCGCTATTAAAAATAGGTTTTTGTAAAATCCTGTTTGTTAGGGGAAATTAGCATGCGCCGGAAGTAGGAGGAGAAGTAGCCTATATAAAGGGACAAAGGAGCCGTTTTTCACTTTTTTTGCTAGAATTCAGGAAGAAACATGCAAATTAAGGACTTTCACAGGTCCTGGACGGGGCCAGGGTTGAAAAGCCGCGAAGCGGTTTTTCAACCCTGGTGGATAACTAAAAAGAGAAACAGGATTCTGATTGGATGATCGCTTCTCAAATGATCCTTGCTAGCTTGCCCAGGCCCCACAAAAAAATAGAAATCGTATGTAACAATGACACAGAGTGCGCTGAAAATCTTGAAGAATCTCTGCAAGCTTGCCTTTTGCAGAATCGCTGAAGCCGAAGAAAAAGTCGGGGGTGAGCGGGCCCTGTTTCTCTGCCAGCTGCCCTCCTGAATTTTCTACAGCTACAACACCTTTTAGGGTCTGCAGTTTTTCAGCCAGAATCCTAAAGGATCTCTCCAAGCGTGCCTTTTTCGTTACCTGTTAAACCTATAGTTTTCTAAAAATCCCCCTGTCGACCCGGTTAACCCCAAGGGGTTGACTCGAAAATGACGGGTGGCGCGCGCCGGGGGCAAAGCCCAATTGAAGGGTGCTGCCGACAGATTGTGACAGCTTGTAAACCTTTTCTCTCTCTATCTCTTTCTTTCTCTCTCTCTCCCTCTCTCTCTCTCTCTCCCCCTTTCATCCCTCAAAATCTTGTCGAAATTGTGGGGGTGCGCGTAATGGATGGGGTTCGATGTCGGTAAGCCACCCTTTAAGGCAGATTGACCCGGCGATTTGCTCGTTCTCTCTCCGCTCTCTCTCTCTCTCTCACTCTCACTTCTCTCTCTCTCTCTTTTCGCACTCTTTCGCCGGTTGGCACCAATTTTGACCCCCGGTGGCTAGGGGCAGGTGGGCCTTCTGCCGGCGGGATCGCGTGAGAAATGGCCTTGTCCGCCAAAATGAGCTGAGCGCGCCGTCTCTAGGAGCATTGCGGAATACGGCAGGATGTTGAAATGTGAGGGAATGAAATGAATGACTGGGTGGACAATGGGGTAGCTTTATACTTTTAAAAGCGCCGGGAAATTACGATTTAGCCAGGAAGAAGATAGCGTGCGAGAGAAAGAAAGGGAGAGAGAGAGCGCGAGAGTGCGTGAATGAGAGCGAGAGACAGAGAGCGTGAGTGAGAGAGATATGGAGTTATAGCAATATCTGGAGAGGCTGCGCGGGAGACACAGAGATAACAAGCGAGCGAGAGAGAGGGAGTGAAACAAGCGAGACAGAGAGAGATAGAGAGAGACAGAGAGATAGAGAGAGTGAGAGCAAGAAAACGAGCTATTTTTACCTATCCTAACAGTAATATTCTTGTTTTTCTCCCCCGTACCGCCATTTGTATTCCTCCGGAACTACTCCCCCACCCAACCTAATCGTCACTCGAGGGGCCCATTTTTTTGGGGCCCTGGCAGCCCATTTAGGGCCCGCTGCCGCCGATTCCGACACGTTCCGCTCGGACGGCCGAGGGAATACGGAATGGCCAGCGCCCAGTTACGCCACACTACTATCCACTAATCAAATCCAGAGCCCGGGGTGGTTATCGAGATAATTGCACTCTTTCGGAGGGAGCAAAAATTGCCCTCCCGGGATAGGGGCTACAAAAATGGCTTGGGAAGCGGGCTTGGGAAATCGTAAAGTGGGATAATCGGTGAAATTTCGTGGTGAGCAACTAATTTTTTTGGGTTGCGTAAGGAGGAGCTTTTCGTACTAGTAATAACCAGAACCTGAAAAAATTGAGAATGGCTAAAAAGGATTGAAATTTTATAACTTTTTCCGCCCCTTTCCACATTACACCCCGATACCCTCCGCCATATTAGTCAGCGCTTCTCCTCGTAGTGACCAACCAAAAACACCCCAAGATACTGCACCCTAATTTGCATCCGGCACACCCTCACACACGCACACCCTCAAAAAGGCGAAAAGCCCCCGCGGATAGCCGGGCCATAATCAGATTTCAAATTAGCCCCAGCTCTGGCTCACTCACTCTCGCTCACTCTCTCTCTCTCTCTCTTTCCTTCTCTCTCATGGATAAGCCAGAATAATGACCACATCTTCTCAATTTCGTGCGAATCCCCCCGGCCATCTTGGTGCCCGCCAAGATTTTTCGGGGGACTAAAAAGTGGACTGGCTGGGGCCCACCTTTGGATTGGGCCCCTTGGCCCTGAAATGGCCACAGCAATTTGCCTGGGACCCCAAATGCCTTACCCTTTTTGCAAAAGGAGTGCAGTATATAGATTGGGAACAATGGCGGAAAGTGGCAGAATTTTTGGATTGAAAAAAATTCGTTTTTCGGGCTTTTAAACCAAAATACGAAAATTAGCGTTTTTTCGGGGCATATTTAAGGACCATAAATACCTGATGGCAAGATTTTTAGCCGAAAGTAATTTGTTTATTTTTCTGGAGTTTACTGGGATTTATCTGAATTTTAAAGGTGTTTAAAAGCGTACATTGTGTCTGAAAAATTATGTTCCTCTATCTACGGTTTCCAAAGGATTTTTAGGGATTTTAACATGCCTGGTTACCAGAACTAACGAACAATCAAATTTCGGAATTTCTAGCATTTCCGTCTCGTTTTTAGAATTTTAAATGGCCCTGGAAGCGTGCCTTCCCTGAGAAATGCAACAACTTTTCGGTCTGCCAGACTATTTCTTAAATTTTTCGGAATTTAGAGACCCATGGTAGCCGGTTTTCCACGCACAGCAGAGTCCTAGGTTTTCTCTAGGAATTTCTGCTAGTACCCCAAGTCTCAGACGCCCTATCCGGCATTCCGGATGCTCAAATTTCGGGGTGGATCTACGCTAGGGCCCCGCACACACACGCGGGTAACTCGATTATGCTTCCAGCGGGTGGAAGAAGCCGAAAAGGGAGAGGAGATGCCGAAAGGAGGAGCTAAAAGAAGAGGAATACGCGCTGCCAATCACCACATTTCTCTCTCTCTCTCTCTCTCTCTCTCTCTCTCTCTCTTGACAAAGAACATTGGGTGCTGCCAATGCGGGGAAATGGTGCCACATTTGGGGTGGCCCAAGAAAAGGCCCGAGAATGGGAATCCGATACGAGAATGGGTGGGGTGGGGGTGAAGATATGGCGTGTATCTTTACGCTTTTAGAGAGGGGAGGCTAGCAGCGGATCTTGAGGAAATGGTCAAAGAGGTCATCTAAACGGTAAACGAGCAAAGATCATTTGAGGAATTTTCCGAACTGCTGGCAGGCAAGCTAGCAGAGATACTTTGAGAAAAACCTAGGAAGTCCAAGAATCTAGCAGAGAATTTTAAGAACTGCAGAGTGAGAAAACGTGGGCAAGCTAGCAGTGACCATTTGGGGGTCAAAAACAAGCAAGTTCAATGCGTAACTAGCAAAGAACTTTTAGGAATGCGTCCAAAAGTTTGGCGACCAGAAGGCCAGCGGACAAAGGTCATTTGGGGATCGGTTTCTTGAGAAGGAAAAAGAAGCAGATGAGCAAGGGGAGGCAACGAACAAAGATTATTCAGAAAAAAGTGACAAATTTAACTTGAAAAACTCACCGGTGCATCCTCCGAAATCTCCGCAAAATAGGAGTCGCGCTCAAACTGAGGGCTGTTATCCTGGACATCCAACACTTCGACAACAACTGAGGCTGAGGAGGAGATCGACGGGTCCAGGCGCTCGAACGCGGTTACCTAAAATGAGATTTTAAAGGGGGCGGGAAGGCGGGAATCCAGAAAAAGTTGGCTGACCATTTCAATTAAGGTTTTCGATACTTTAACGCTAGAAAAATGAAATGGTTCTCCTTACCTTGAGGACGTGACGATCGAGGGTTTCTCGGTCCAGCGCCTTGGCAAGTCGAATTTCGCCGGTGTGCTAGAAAAAGCAAATATGTTAGATTTTGGTAGGAATCATATTTCTCTCATTTTTATCTGTCTCTGTGGTCTCTCCTCTCTCAAAACTCTCTCGCTCTCTCGCTCTCGCTCTTTCTGCCTATTTCTCTCTCCCTCTCTCTTTCTCTCCCTCTCTCTCTCACTCGCTCGCTCTCTCTCCACCAAATTTCAAGAATTCCACCAATTCCACCCCACTCCGCCGTACAATTCTCGCTTGATTCCGTTAGTGTCCTCCTTCCAATGTTTCCAACCCCCCGGGGTCATCAAGCCACCGGGTTGTGGGCCCTTTCCAAAGCCAGAAGAGGAGGGCCAATTTTCGCGAATTTCTGAGTGGAATTGTGGCCGGGGTAGGGAGGGGGAGAAGGACGCGACGCTACGACAAAGGCCATTCGGCCACACACACGGCACCCCAACCAACCCAGGGGCCAGGCTTTTCATTTCCACCGCCCCGGCTTTTCAACCCCTCGGGTCCCACCACTAGTTTCTCACCGCTAGAAATGATGGAGACGGAGAAAAATTTACCCAAAAAATTCAAGAATCGGGGAAGAGAAAAATTGAAGAGATAGAGAGAGAGCGAGAGAGAGCGAGAGAGAGCGAGAAAGAGATAGAGAGATGGAGAGAGAATGGAAGCTAACGAGGTAGAGAGTGAGGAGTGGGCGAACGAGAGCGAGATAGCTAGATAGATAGATATATAGAGAGTGAGAGTGAGCAAGGTAAATAGAGAGAGAGAGTGAGAAAGAGAGAGAGAGAGAGAGAGAGAGCGAGATCCAAAACCTGCCCAGCCAAATTTAACCTCTATTCATTTTTTGAACCCTCGACCCCATTTGTTTTGACAGCCCAAGCAGCCTGGCCACTGAACCGTATATCATGGTGGGCCGTATGGCCCACCGGCCCTAATCACTGCACCGCGCCGCTTTCTATGGCCCGTCTCTCTCTCTCCCTCTCTTTTCCCATATTGCCCTACCCCATCGTCCCTCCGGGGTCTCATTTTGGTGGGGGTAAAATATGAGCCTCTAGGCTATTCCGAGTCCCGTTCAGCCCCCCTAATTGCTGCCCATTGACCTCGCTTTTGAAAAGCGGTGGAAGAGATTCTGAGTGGAGTCCATTTACAGCGTGAAATATTGTTCCGGATTTAGCTAGAGATCGTGCTAAAAATTGGTCGGAAACGGCAAGCGAAAGAGAAAGAGAGAGAGAGAGAGAGAGAGAGAGAGAGAGGGAGAGGGAGAACGAGAGCGAGCAAACGAGTGAGAGAGAGCTAGAAATTAAAGTTGAATCCTACCGTATCGAGCGTAAAAATGTTCTGAGATCGTCCGTCCTGTGGTGCGGCCATGGAATAATAGAGAGGATGGCCGGCGGCATGAGTCGCAGATACCGTAACCACTACCGTATCGACGGGAGCGTCCTCGGCAAGTTCCTTGACGTAGCTGAAAAAAAGAATTTCTGACGGTATCAAAACCTACAAAAAATTTAGTTAATTTTAAACAAAACGAAGATAAAATTAAAATTATTTTTAGATGAATTTTTCGAGTGGTTTTCTGTTTTTTTTTCTGGAAAATATTGCGTGTTTTTCACCACAGAAAAGGACTAATTTTCCCGTTATGCAAATTAGCGTAGTGTACTCCGTTTCGCAACTATCCCCCGCTCGGATATTGGTCATTTCCCCAGTCCCATTCCCGGGCTGTCGCCAAGGTTAATTGTGGGTTGTGTGTGTGTGGGTGAGCTGTCCCCTCATCGCGTTGTGCTGATGCTTCTGTTGTGAGGCGTCTAATTTCCCTCAGGAATGCCCTCCGGGTCCCGCAGAGTCTCCATTCTCGCAAATGGCATTCTCCACTCCCCACCCCGGGAGAAATTTGCATACCAGTTTGCGGGAAATGAGTAACGGGACCCGAGGGAGAGAGAGAGAGAGAGAGAGAGAGCGAGAGAGAGAGTGAGTGAGGAGAAAACCGATCCCTAACGGGTATCATCTATCTCCTCTACGCTAGTTGGGTGCTAACGCGCCGGAAGGAGCGTACAGCTTCTGCATAAAATGGCATACATGCATTTATTGGCTCTTAAAGGGGCTCAGACACGAGAAAATCCCGCAAAAAATCAGTTTTTGAACACGCTAACTAAACTTCTTAGAGGGATTTGCAGCTTTAAAAAATCCATTCGTTATTTCATAAAATTCCGAGCTCTAAATGCTGCCGTTTCCCCCAAAAATTGCCTTTTTACGGCTTTAAAGAGCCGGGGAAGGC